AGCTCCACTTGTCCACCATTTTGTGCCATTAATGACGTATGAATCACCTTGTCTATATCAACATCAGAATTAGCTATAAGGAATAATGTGGACTGAATCTCAGTTTTTGGGAATTACCAGTAGAAAAAATGAAGATGACATATATCTTTCAAATGTTTTCGTTTTCTTTTGTTCAGTCGAGAATTCGAATGAAAGTAGATATCAACATAAAGAGAATCAAAGAAAATGTCTTACCTTCGGATAGAGCATTCAATATTGGTTGCATCAGACGATGCAACTTGTGGCTCAGTCATAGCAAATCCAGAACGAATTCTTCCCTCGAGCAACGGAATAAGCCATTCAGAAATTTGTTCTTTGTTACCATACCGCAGTATCACCTACAAGATAGTACAGATTATATAAATACAAGTAACAAGCGATGAGACAACTCCTGGACCGGTAAACAAAATCAGGCTTTTATACCTCCATGTTTCCAGTATCTGGTGCACCACAGTTAAACACCTGTGGAGCCCAAACAGAACGACCCATGATCTCACAAAGGTAACCATAGTCCAGGTTCGTGAGGCCCTCACCAAACAATTGATCAAAAGACTTGCTCGAGAGATTATGTTTATTCTCGGTAGCCGCCAGTTCTCTTCTGGCTCTAGCAGCACTATCTACCTGCAAGAACCAAGAATCCATAAGTACAGTCTCAATCAAGGTAAAAGCAATAAGATATTTGTAGAGAAAAAGAAGCATACAGGAACAAATAAGTTCCATAGGCCTTCTCTCTTTGCCATTTCTTTTAACTTTTCCTCCTCGGGGTGAACGGTCCATCGCATATCTGATTGGGCAAGTTTGGAGAACTCGTTTTCAATTGGGTAGATGTGAGTTTCCATAAACTTGATCAACTTCTGCCTTAACTTCAATACTTTTCTGTTGGGGATAAATCTCCCGCTTCCATCCAAAAGGCTTTCATACGACGGGGACAAATCTCTTTGAACTGCATCTCAAACGAGGAAAGTAGAGTAGCTATCAAATTAAAGTTTATCCGTATATAAGAAATGTAAAATAAACAGTTATCCTAATCAAAACTCGAATCTTAAAGAGGTCAATTACCAGATGGAGGGTGTTCTGGAAGAACATTTTCACGTGCAATATAACCCAAGGCAGACTCTACAAGCTCATTAGCTTGAGCCCCTGTATTTCGGGCTCGTTCACCGGCAGAAGCATTCCCCTGCATGATCAACACAATGTCAATGGCTCTACAACTGCATAATAAGAATCTTAGAATAAAAAGATATCCCCGGGGAATACCATTAACCATCTGTTGTACACCCCCGTGTAGATTGAAGCAGCCCGAAATAAAGAGAACGCTACGTAGAACTTCCAGTTTGCAGCAGGCCATGGTTTTCCCTAAAGTTGATTTGCCAATGTGTCACTACAATCGAAATCTGAGAAAATATAGGCAATGTACAAGGAACACCTGACTTGGTTCCTTTTAAAGACTATATGTTGTTGCAGGACAATACCGATGCAGAACAGTATTCTAAGAGAAATTCGGGCATCGAAAGCATTCCTTCTGGAAGCCCAGTAGTTTCAAGACCTTCACTAACATGCTCCTTATCAAGCTGAACATGCACAATGTAATGCTGCAAACACCATGAACTGTATATCAGAGCAGGAAGCAAAGAAAACTACTTTGTGAGTACAATATAACAAACAAAAATAGCTTATTACCATACAGCTGTATGCAACATCACACATTTGGTTCCCAAGCGTGGACAATTCCCAGTCAATTATTCCAATAACTCGATCCTGCAGCTTAAGAAATTTTTTAGCAAGGTCTCCGAGAGTATTCAAGGATCAGAAAACAAAAGATCTTGAAAGTATTCAGACCTCAGAAGGATGAAACACGAGATTGTCAATGCGGAAGTCTCCATGGACAAGGCCTGATGTTGCTCCTGTTGAATCTTCCGCGGGGATGTTTTTGCGTAACCAATCAACAAGCTCAAACATCTTTGGATTCCTTTCAGGTTTACCTTCACTTGTTGAAGCCAAATATTGTTTGAACCACCTATCTATCTGAAATGGAGATATCCAAAAAAAAAAAACACTTTAGTAGGAGCATTAAGAGAACAAACTAGTGAGTAGTGATGTGGAAATTCCCCAGCCGCAAGTAAAGAACAAACCTGTCTTTGGCAGTAATTGCCTCGCCGACCATATTTCTCAAGACCAATGGCATCCACATCAGCAGAGTGAAGAGATGCCAAGGCTTTGGCGGTTGCACGATAGATCGCATTTCTCTTTTCAGGTGCTACAGTCTAAGTCAAAACCAATGAAAACAGACACAAGTTACGCCTATCGTTCACTTCACGATGAGTCACATCTCAAGCTAGAAAACCGTACATACAAATTCACATAACAGAGAATGTCTTACCGGCAACTTTGGGTCAATGAAAATACGTCCTTCCATAAACTCCATAATGTAAAAAGCAGTCCCAATGACAGTAGGGTCAGTGCATAAGCAGAAGACTTTAGGAACAGGAACCTGTGTATGTTCACCTAAAGCCCGAAGCACCTACATAACCAACCAGCATCGAAGTATTAAGCAAAAAAAAGCATCTACCTTTATTTGATACCGTATCTATTATATAAGCAGTATCACGAGCAATGATTCTGCATTCAAAAACGGTACAACAAAAAATGATCCTAATCATTTCACCAACTAAAATTCGAAACTCAAAAGTAAAAAGTACAAAATTGACATGATTTAGGAATTTGTCCAAAGGTAAAGATTGATTGATACCTGAAACTCTCTATCAACAGCATGAGCAGATTGAAGGAGCTTCCCAGGAGGCTTCTTCCTCAAAACGTATCGTTTCAAGGAACTCCCTGAGCCAACCTCAATCAGAAACGTTGGATTCGACTGCCCATGTCCGAACTGTGTAAACCCAACAAAACAAAATCAGATAAAGTTTCTTTCTTGCCGGAGAAAAACCTCGGCGATTGGAAAAGATACCTGTGAGACGTTGAATTGAGATGGGTTGGTCGGGAAACCGGTGACGTTGTCGGCGGCAAAACGAAACAAGGCATCGTGATCGAACCGGTGAGCTGATTGAACCCGTGTCACCAGATCGCCGGTGCTGCTTCCCATGATGTTCCTTCACACTCTCTATCTCGCTCAGAGTTGCAACAAAACAAAGAGATTCATCAACAAGAATAGCTCTCTAACACAAACAAATACACGCATTCATACAAATAATTCCATTTACGGTAAGTCGCATAACCTTTCCTTTGGATACTTTTATTTACTTTGACCGTATAGCAATTTAAGAAATATTTATCTTTTTTTCTTATTTTAGGAGAGATAATTCTATGTTTTCTTATTTATAAATACAGTAAACTGATTTTGATAATAACCATATATATTGGTAGGAAAAGTTATCCATGAAGTAACGGATATACAGTGTTTGCCAACTCAAATTAGAATTTAGATTAGGTGATTTGACTTAGGACGTCATATTCACATTAAGAAAGCTAATACAAAATGAATTCGTTTTAAAGACGAAATTTTCTTTCTAATAACACTTAAAGATCGATGAACGACAATTTGATAAGCGATAATTGAAAACTGAATTAGCCCATCTAAAAATATAAATTGAAGGCCCACTAAGCCCATATAGTTTCTCAAAGGATCTGGCAAAGACCCGAAGAGAAAGGAGGAGGAGATACGCTGAAGAAGAACAGAAGCCGAAACCCTCACCGGCGATGGCTCTTATCAACGCACGGCGAACAGTAGCGACACTTCTAAGCAAAACCCTCTCTTCCTCTTCTTCATCTTCTTCTTCATTTTCTACACTCTCTTCTCGTTCTCGATTCGCCGTGCCTCTAATTGAAAAGGTTTCCGGACTGGGCCCGTGTTACATCTCGACCCGACTCAAGACATCCGGGTCCGGATACTCGCCGCTGAATGATCCTTCGCCGAATTGGAGCAACCGTCCGCCGAAGGAGACGATTCTTCTTGATGGGTGCGATTATGAGCATTGGCTCATCGTCATGGAGTTCACTGATCCTAAACCCACTGAAGAAGAGATGATCAATTCTTATGTCAAAACCTTAACTTCCGTCCTTGGCAGGCAAGTTCCTTATCATTTGATCTGAATCTTTTTTTGTTTCTCAATTGTTTTGTTGTGCATTTGGGGTTTGACGGATTTGCATTTTTGTGTTATGATTAATTATAGTGAGGAAGAGGCCAAGAAGAAGATTTACTCGGTTAGTACTTCGACCTACACTGGCTTTGGTGCTTTGATCTCTGAAGAGCTTTCTTGCAAAGTCAAAGGTATCAACTTCTCCATTTTTTCAATTAGGTTTTGAGCCTTCTTTGCTCTGAGATAGCTTTTCTGGTTGTTTACTTATGTTAAGCTTTATCGTAATTTGGTACTGCTAGGAGGAAACTTCTCTTGATCTTTGTTTTACCTCAATTTATTGTCTGTCCTAGTCCGATCATGAGCGCATAATTATACTGTCAGAAATCTGATCCAGAGTTGTGATTCATTAGAATTGCCTGGTGTTCTCTGGGTGCTGCCGGATTCCTATCTCGATGTACCAAACAAAGACTATGGAGGTGTGTAACGTTTCTAGATTTTGTCTGAATGATTCGGTTATGAGATATGATTCTTATTGGATAGCATGTCTTTGGCTCTCATGTTCAGGTGACTTGTACATTGAAGGAGAGGTCATACCCAGACCACAGTACAGGTTCACGGAACAGCGTCAGACTAGGAACCGTTATAGGCCAAGGTATGATAGGCGACGTGAGACAATGCAGGTCGAGAGGAGAGAGCCACCCATGGGTCATCAAGCTCCAGCATATCCGGGAGAGTTCAACAAGCCCAGTGCTTAATATAAAACATGAACAAGTCTCGCATTTGTAATGGTATTAGATGCTTGTCTTAAACACTCATGTGAGAGAGACTTATCAATTTATCCACTGAATCAATCATCAGTTATGTCTCTAATGAATGAATGATTAAACACTCCTCTAAACAGAACAAATTATATAAATATAAAGTGAATTGCAAAGGAAATTAAATATATATGTACAATGTGATATAAAAATATATACACACGAGAGAGATCATATGATATAATTGGAACTGAGATTAAGAATATTGTTAAGCAGGAATCACTACGACAACGAATTTGTCAGCACACCGGAGATAATGTAATGTCCAACTTCTCCCTTTCACCGTCGGTCACAATCCTCACTATCCTCTTGAACGCAAAGTGCACACAATTAGACAACGCGATCCAGCAGATCACTTCGTACACGAATTCCATTGCTGGATCTGACCAAGACGAAAACGAAGACCCATCCCAATTATCCCTCCCGAAACCACCACCACCGCCGCCGCCGTAGTTCCATCCCTTTCCACCTCCATCGTTTCCTCCGCCTCCAAATCCGAATGGACCGTCGTTACCACCGAAATCACCTTCTAACAGAAAACGACCAAAATCTCCTCCGTCGTCTCCATCACCGCCAAACGAAACTCGCCTGGTTCGTCGCTTTTTGCGGATCCGGCGAATTGTCTTATAAGAGCTAGATCTGACAGGTGGAGGAGCAATTGCATCAACGGGAAAGATAATCGCCGATGCTTGAACGATTCCTCCACCGGGAGATTGATTATCAACAACAGAATCGGCGAAAGAAATGTGATTGGCCAAATCCAACCTTTGAAGAAGAGATTTCCCAAACGCGATACCTTGCTTAGCCGTGCAAACTGTGACTGTGTCGGCGATCAAAGAGAACTCCATGATGATCTACAAATCCGACGGCGACGACTTTGTTCGTAAATTTTTTGTTTCCCCAAATCCACTAAATAGTTTTTGGATTAGGGATTTTACAACATTGCCGGCGAATTCGGGAAATAAATCAGGAACCTGATTCGGATCCGAAGGAGGCGGATAAATTGGACACGTGACTACTTTGCGCGTTGAATACAGAAGCCACGTGTCTTGTATTCACACGTGAGTGGCACGCAAGAAGGGTCCATTAAAACGTGAAAGCCCAAAGCTATGGGTGGGCTATATAATTCATTAGTTTCGTATCATTCTGAAAATATGCGGGTTCTATTCATAAAAAGGAAATATGGGTCAATAAAGCAAATAACCGTATGAGCATTAAGATGTTCTTGTTCATTTGATCATTTCTCAAGGGAATTTTTGTACATAGAGTAAATCGAGAGATCATAACAACATAGATTTAAATTATATGTCATTTCCTATAAAATATTCGATGGCATTTCCGTTGGTTGGTAAGCCTTCTCTGAAGTAATTTTTATAGCATAATGGCTAAACATTTATTGTCGGTCCATAAACTAATCCTTCTGCAAATTCATCAGCGACACATTTTATGACAAATCTAACGTGCTCACTGACACTTGGTTTTTCAGAATCCTTAGCTTCCATTTTTTTTTTTTTTCACATCTCTTAACCTTTGTCAAATATGTTTCAGAAATATTTCTCCCAGTAGAGATCCATAAAAATAAATAAAGATTCTGATGAGTAAACCACTAACCAGTCTTTGACAAAAAAAAAAACCACTAACCAGTAGTCATAAGTTAATAACGACTTTAGAAAGTAAATTGGCACCAATTTTTATTGATAATCCAGACGTTAGCATTCCCATGTGATTATTACTTTCGGGTGACCAATTACAACCGCTATGTTTGACTTAATACTGATTTTGAGCAGTATGAATGAATTAGGTTTCGAATATATTACTGATATTTGTTTGGGGAAAATTCCCAAAAAAAACTCAAAGTAATTTTTATTTGGACGTTTAATACCCAATTGTTTTGGATTGGAATAAAAATACCTCATTTAATAAAATCTAATCTAAAAATTCCTTATGTTTGACTTGTTGGTGGATTAACATCCGTTAACAGCCGTTACGGAATCCATCAATACCGTCAAAGTTCAACCCCGCGTGTTTAAACAGATATATACAATCTCTTTATATGTTACCACAAATATTTTCGCCTAGTCTGGTGGTGATTAGCCCTTTATGTTACCCTTAGCGTCCGGGTTCGATTCCCCCTCTCCCAAATTTTTTTTTTTTTTTTTTTTCCCGGCTTCTCGCCTTCTTCTTCCGCTAAACATTGCAACGCAAATCTAGGGTTTTTTTTTTTTTTTACTTTGTGAATTCTAGATCTATGTGTTCTGTAATTAGATCGTTGTTTCCTTATCATCAATCCTTTGTTATGTGCTCTAATTTTGGAGAAAAAGTTTGAAACTTTCATGTACATATGGCCACTAGAGAAAGCAAATTGGAGAAAGTTAAGAGAATAATCGAGCAAGTCGACGTGAATCGCGATGGTGGGTTTAAGTGAGAAGAGATGGCGACGGACTGCGACGGAGCTTTGGGTTAAATGTGGAGGAAGGAGAAATGGTGGATGAGAACGAAAAAAAAAAATCAATGGTGGGTAATGAGGAGGATCGAACCCGAGTTCATTGGGTGACATAACACACCAGTAACCACCAGACTAAAGTAATATAATTGTAAGCTTTGTACACAGGCATATATATCTTTATAAACATAGGGATTGAAAAATTTAACACCGGTTATTGATTCCGTAACGGCTGTTAACGGACGTTAAATCACGGGTTTGAATCCACCAACAAGTCAAACATAAGAAATTTTTAGACTAAATTTTATTAAATGAGGTATTTTTATTCCAATCCAAAACAATTGGGTATTAAACGTCCAAATAAAAATTACTTTGGGTTTTTTTTGGGAATTTTCCCTATTTGTTTGGCTTCATTAGAAAAGTCAATCACAGTTATTAAAACCTGTAGTTCAAATATTAATTTCCATGACATAAAGTACTTAAGTGTTTTTGAATTTTTTTTTTATAAATAACGCGCATGTAATACATTTGGTACATACATACTTAGCTTCTTCTTTTTTTTAGCCATTGTCATATACTACTGTTTTTGTTGTCTCAAATTATAGTCAAACATCAAACACCAGAAAACAAATCACGATATCCGATTGGAATCCAATTTTCAAAGCAAAGCTAGATATATTTATAATGTTTTACATATTTTGTAGTATCTAGCTAGACAAATACATACTCCTCTACTATTAGACTTCCGAGGTTTTTTGATTCAATCCATGCAAAATACTGTGCTAAGAAACCAATATAAAATTCTCTCTGCTTCAATGTTATATGTAAACGATTATCATATAAGGAAAAAAAAATGTTTCATGTAAACTGTAAAAAGAGAAGAATAGTTGGGTAGTCCGCTTTCATCTACTTTGATTGTTTCACCTTTGTCATTTGATGTCAAATAAAAGCATAATTAAAGTGTCTGTTTACTTCTCTTCTATGTATCACAAGTTTCGTGTTTCACTATTAAATTCTATACATTTAACAGCTATCTAACTAATATATTTTCTGAGAAATATATGTCCGAATTAATTAAAAGAGTTTAGTTGATCACCATCAACCAAAAAAACTCTAAATAACTATTATAGTCCGTCGTTGAAATGATTATGTAATTACCGTTATATTTATTTTGTTTAACAACGCCAAATAAAACAAACTAATCGACATTTATGTCGGTAGAAAATAATCATATAGCCGTTTATCTTATTTTATATCTTACTCAATTCTATTGAATTGGGATATATATAAAACTATATTTCAATATTTGCTGTAAAAGCGAGTTACAATGTGGATAAACGGCTATATCGACGGTAGTTTTCTTTACCTTATTAGTTTTACTCGTTCTCCGTTTTGATATTTACAGTAAATACGAGTATTTGAAGATTTAATTTATCATAAATGGATTAATTTAAGTTTCTCTCTCTCTCCCAATTTAAAATGGGTCTATCCCGCAAAGTCTGCCTGCCTTCTCTTAACGTCTTCTCTCTCTCTCTCTTTCTGTTCTACTCACTCCTTCCATATATTTTTTTTTTTGCCTTCACCTCCATTTTTCTGGAAACTTTGGTTGCGATGGGTAAGATCCGACCCGGACCGGATCCAAAAGCGGCATTGGTCTCAGATATTTTATCCCTATCGAGATCACCAATCTCTTGCATTCACATCAATTGCATCTCATCCGGTTCATGTTTCATCGACTGGTATCTCATTCTCGGTGTATGTATGTTCTTTCTTTTTCTTTTCTCAATTTATCTAAATAGATTGGACGAGCTCTTTTTATCCAAGTAAGAAGATAAAGATTACACTCAGATTGATTTTGGTAAAAAACAGATCCAGGAAGATGCAGAGGTCAAGGTCATACGTAAAAGATATCACAAATTAGGTCCGGTTGTATTTCAGTTTCGTTATCAAATTTGATTTTGATTAGCTAAACATTGCTAGAATTTAAATAATTTTGGTTATGGTATATGTATTTATGAGACAAATGGTTACATTGATCAGCTTTGAAAGTTCATCCGGATAAAAACAATCACCCAAAGGCAGATATTGCTTTTAAGCTCATCCACGAGGTCGGCTATTTTTTTCTTTCTCATCTCATTTATTTTTTAAAAAATCCTAGCAATCTTAACGTTAATATATTTATCATTTTCTCGTGAGAGACAATAATACATTATGATAATATATAAAATGTGTGTGTGGACATGAATCGTACGCTTAACCATAGCATCATCATGCATGTGTTAACTATGAATTCATTCATTTTACCAATACAAAAATATACTAGGGATGATCCTTTTAACCGGTTTTGGCGTCCCATGTAGGCTTATTTATGTCTTTCAGACGAAACAAGGAGAATAAGCTTCAACACAGATCGACGAAAGAACATTTGTCTAAAATGCAGCCGAGTCTCACACAAAACCAAAGAGAACCGTAACGATTCTAAACCAAACCGGTTCTGCCAAACCCTCAAGGACATTAGGGACAAGTTCAGAGAAGAGAACAAGGTGATAGAGAGGTGTCTAAAAACCAATAGTGCAATCTTCATGGGGAACCGAACCAAGGAAACCCCGGTTTATGGTATACCAAACCAAAACCGATTAAAGAAGGAGTCGCCTGTTTTTAATCCATCGGATTACAGGTTATGGGGTTATCCACATGTGAGAAATCGGGTGTTCGACTACAACTTGTCGTCGGATTGGAATATGTTCACGAGAAGCAGATCCACTTGTGTTCACTCATCGTGATGATTTATCTTTCGGTTTTTAAATATTTACTTTTTATTTATTTTTTCCATTTAGTTTAAATAAGTGAGAAAATATCTATTGATTTTTTTTTTTTTTAGCTTCATTGTATTCTATCATTATTCAAACTGGAAAATCTTTGGACTATAATCATATTATTCTCCTTTTTTTTGATTAAAAACATTAACTCACCACAACTACACAACAGAGTGATAAATATAAATTCGAATTTACGAATAATGACCTCAATTTTTGTATTTAAACAGTCTATAGAAATATTGAAATGAAAATTATATATATTCAAAATTTGAAAACTTAAAGAAAAGTTTGGCTATTATAAATATATACACACATATATATATATATATATATATATATATATATATATATGATTTACATGGTTATTAATTTATGTTATCAATGGAACTATATATTTATATAGGAATTCTAAAAAAAAATTATTATTTTATTTTTCTATCGAATTTTATTCATTTTTATACTGATCCAGTTCGTGAACATAGAATTTTATTCTTTTATTATGTTTATTAATTTATAGAAATCTTGTAAGGGGGAGAAGTAAAATTTCTGAAATGCAGCCGAGTTTGAGATTTGTTTTGAGTTTCTATACATTTTTTTTGGCTATCTAATTCCAGTGGTATATTGACAACGTTCAGTTAGAACAAGATTGACTGATGGTATCTTTTTGAAGATTTACCAAAAGAATAATTAACTCTAATTATTTTGTGGCTTTCTTCTAAAGCTAATAATTAGTGATTTCAAAATTTTCTTTGATAATTATAACTAGATATAACCCTTGTTCGAAAAATCGCTAGGCGCTAGTCGGACGTTCGGTATGGGCCTAACGAGTAATCGGAAAATCAGATTAAAAACGGAGATTAATCGTGGACTAGTTTTAGGGTTATTTTAATATTTTAGAAATATATTAATCGAATATTGTTTTCAAAATTGCAGTAAATATATTAAAATATATTTTTGAGACAAATTTTTATGATTTTTATTAAAATTTGAACATAAGTTATTGTAAAACATCACAAACTCCCAATTCAAATGATTGAATAACAAAAATAAAAAAGTTATTTTATATTTGTAATCTAAAAATAATCGGAATATGTAAAGCTTAGGCGGGGAGTAATCGGATTAGACGGAAAATAATCGGATTAGGCGGAGAGTAATCGGATAACTGATTTCTTTAAAGGATTAATCATTAATCGATGCGGATAGGATGTGCCTAACGATTAAGCGGGGAGTAATCGGGGTAGGCGGAGATTTTTAGAACAGGGGATATAACTAATAAGAAATAAGCATAGTAAAAAAATTTATAACCAATTTTACCACGAGAAATATATATATTAACATAACAGCGGCATCCGTCCAATAAAATCTGACGAATGTTTTTACCTTTCGGCTCCATGTTGCCCTGAACATTTGAACAGCCAAAAATAAAAGAAGTACCAGAATTTTAAACATAAATGGATTAAAGGCCCAAACATTTGAATAGAAAAACGTTTGTTAAATAAATACATTATTGGGCTGAAAATTGAAGTCGATGAAAGCTTCACTCATCGGAAACCCCACTAACCTATATACGTTTAAACTTAATTTACTTTATTTATCCGCATAATTTTGTAATGCTGCAACCTGCAATTATAACGTCATTAGGTCAGAGTTAATCTAAGCTTCATGAGCAGATACTCTTACAATCTCAGTTGCAAAAAAAGCAAAAAGCCAATTCCTAAATATATTGGGCCCTAAGCCCGTTTTGTTTGGAATAATACTTTATTGGACCAAACATTCGTATACTTATTGGATCCAACATTGACTTACTAAATTTATAACTGTTTGGATTGCTTTATTTTATTAACTTTGATTGATTAATTTAATGGATACAAAGTACAAACATGAAGGGAAGCACAAATTTTGTCCAAAAAAAAAAAAAAAAAAGAAGGGAAGCACAAAAAAAGAGTGCCAGGCTGGCAAATTAACGTATGATTGGTGTGGGACCCATTCACGCCCTGTCTGTCCACATGCTCCTCTCTAATCGTCTTCTTCACATTTACTGCTTCCTTCAATCTTATTATAACCATTTCTTATACATCTTTTTTTTTTTTAAAGTCGAATGTTCTATTTTCCTACTCAAATTAATTTTTAACTTCATTGTATCCGAGCTTTTTTTCCAATGATTTTTTTAACTATATAAGTAATAATTGGTTTCTAAAAACCTATATAGTAGTATAGATTAAAAAGATGGAATAGATCCTAGAATTTGCCTAATTTAATTCTTCACGACTTAATAGAATGTTCTCATAAGTAAATTATGAATATCCAGTTAACTTATAAACATATGGGTCTTATTTTCCCTTTAAAATTTAAGATAAATATGTACATATTATATACTAATTTAGAATAATAATGTTTGAACGTTGATAAATAGGGGAAAACAGTATATATATATATATAATATATTAACATTTTAAAATTCAAAAATTTATAAAAATCTATATAGAAATCTTAAATTCAACAAAAAAGTAATTGAGAAAAGAACATAAAAACAAAATAAAATAAAATAAAATATGAAACACATGCCTTGTCTAAACAAAACTACAATAATATTTTCTTATTATTATTTTGTTGGCCAGGCACAGCTTAAAACAGCCATATTTATTTATCTCTTGGTTTTTTTGATTTTTTCTTGCTCACACTCTCGTCCTCTCTCTCCAATGCCAAGAAGATTTGTCGGCGATAATACGTTACCAGATCCCATTAATCAATATGAAGACATATTCGATATTAATTGCTTAAATAGTGAATATTGATTATACATTAATGATTACCATTTTCTCTCTTTCCCACTGTCCATTTGTTTCTCTATATTATTTTCCTTTTTAGCATTAACAAAATCAATTTATTTGCGCATATAAGGCTGTCATTTCGGCGTCAATCTTCTTCCTTCCTTATTTTGCCTATTTTTTTTATTTATGTTTCTGTAAATGAAAATGAAAATTCGTCTTTTCTGTCAATCATACCGTTTTGTCTCAGAATAATTATATAAAAAAAGCTTCTCTGTTTTGTGTTGTTTGGTTACGAAGAAAGAACTCTTCTCCTTCTTCTTCTTTTTCTTATTCTTCTTTCTCTTCTTCTCTTTCTCTCTCAGTGTCTGGTTACATTTGGCGCGAAAAGTTCTTCACTTTATAGCTTTTATCTTTTATTATCCGACAGCTTCGTTACAAATAAAGATGTCAGTAAGTGCGTTCTCTCTTTTTGTTTCTCTCTTAATTACATAACATACCTCCTTCTTTCTGGGTTGTCCCTTTCTCGGATTGCTCTTCTTCATCCTTTCTTTAACTATTTACTTCTCTGTTTTTTCTTAATCCCGTTAGATCCGACTTCGTTTTTTTTCGTTCGTATGTTTGACAAAATTGGATCTGTAATTGTAACTCAGATTTTTCTGGTGTAGCAGGTGGTAATAATCTTGATACTGGCATTAACCAGTCTGATTCCGATTTACGCAAAAGTTCTCGGCGCCGGCAAAATATGCGACGAACTTGGCCGGATATCTTTGAGTACAAGACCACACAGCGTCTCCATTACAGACTTTGGAGCTGTGGGAGATGGCAAAACGCTCAACACTCTTGCGTTTCAAAACGCCGTTTTCTATCTTATGTCTTTCGCCGACAAAGGTGGAGCCCAGCTTTATGTTCCGCCGGGAAATTGGCTCACCGGTAGTTTCAGCCTCACCAGCCATCTCACTCTTTTTCTCGAAAACGGTGCCGTTATAGTCGCCTCTCAGGTATATTAACAATGCTTCTTTCTCATTCTCACATTTATCCCAAAATTCTAAATTTATCCAGAAAACCCAAAATTTTTACTTCAAAAGGATCCATCGCATTGGGAAGTTGTTGATCCCTTACCTTCGTACGGAAGGGGAACTGATTTGCCTGGGAAGCGATACAAGAGTTTGATCAACGGTAACATGCTACACGATGTTGTTGTAACAGGTATCAAACAATGCTTGATATTTTAATCTCCTTTTCACGATGTTGTTATAATATATGCTTGATAACAGGTTACTCCATATTTTTCCATGGTTAGGTGATAATGGAACCATAGATGGTCAAGGCTTGGTTTGGTGGGATCGGTTTACTTCTCATTCCTTAAAGTATAACCGTCCTCACCTCATCGAGTTTCTTTCTTCTAAAAATGTAATTGTCTCCAATCTTACGTTCTTGAATGCTCCAGCTTATACAATTCACTCAATCTACTCTAGGTAACAGATGGTTCAACATCATTAAGGCCTAAACCTTTTTTCTTTTGTTTTGAATGTTAAGTCTTGACTCTAACTACTGTCCTTATGCAGCCATGTATATATTCATAAGATATTGGCTCATTCTTCTCCCGAATCTCCTTATACAATCGGTATAGTACCAGGTTAGTTGTCTCTGCTTCTTCTAGACTAAAACCCTTTTTGTTGTGTATACGCATAGAAAAATGAAATGTCTTTTGTTGTGTTATGTTTCTCAGATTCTTCTAATTACGTCTGCATCCAAAACTCTACCATTAACGTGGGGTATGACGCCATCTCCCTCAAAAGCGGTTGGGATGAATATGGAATTGCCTATTCTCGTCCCACTGAAAATGTTCATATAAGAAATGTGTACCTTCGAGGAGCTTCTGGTTCGTCTATTTCCTTTGGCAGTGAAATGTCTGGTGGAATATCTGATGTCGTGGTCGATAATGCCCATATGCACAACTCGTTAACCGGCATTGCCTTTAGAACCACAAAAGGCAGAGGTGGTTACATCAAAGAGATCGATATTTCAAACATCGATATGTCTAGAATAGGTACTGCCATTGTGGCTAATGGTAGCTTTGGATCTCACCCTGATGATAAATATGACGCAAATGCTCTCCCTCTTGTGAGTCACATCAGACTAAGCAACATTTCTGGAGAAAACATCGGCATTGCAGGGAAATTGTTTGGGATCAAAGAATCTCCATTTAGCGCAGTGGCTTTGTCGAATATCGCTTTGTCGACGAGCTCAGGTTCTTCGGTTTCTTGGCAATGCTCTTACGTTTACGGGTCCTCAGAGTCAGTCATACCTGAACCTTGTCCCGAGCTGAAAAGAGATGATGATGCTTACGGTAGAGCTGCAGTTTAACGAAACAGACTGCAAAAAAAAAAGCAAGAACTTTTCTTGGGATTCTTTCATAAGATTCAATCCATCAATCATTCATATTTTGTGGAGTTAGAAAAGGTCAGATTCTTTCCTCAAGTAAACCACATTGTCTTTAGATCATACATGTTCCTTTTGGTTATTCTGGTTTATTATTTTTATTTTATCTTGTTTGCATATTGTGAGATAAGAAATCTGTACAGTTTCATTTTTTCATTCATGTGTAAACAAAGAAATTTTGTTTGAGCAGTTTTCCACATGCCGTGATTAATTAAAATAAAAAGGGAGAGATAGTTTCATTTTTCCAGAAAATTTATTTGAACATTCATTCTCTTGTCAATCTTCAAAGCTTAATCCCTTGGTTATCAGTGTTCCAAACATTTCTGCTCTGTAAACTAAAAGCTGACCAAAAATAATCCAAAGAAAACAGAATTTACTTTGTCTCTTACCAAAACGTATTAACTTTTTATTTGAATCAATAGCAACTAATATTTTGAATATATTTAGTCTCAGTGAAAGGAAAGTACTCTGTTTCCGCTTATGCACATAAAGGTTCCAAGGTACAAATGACAATAATATATGGATGCAACTCTGCATCCCCTTATACCTTACAAGGTTTTTGCATCATACATTGAGACCACTCCTAACAATTCCAACCTCAGATTCCTTACGTCTCATGCATCAACCACAACAAGGCAAGGGATTTAACGGGAAATTTAGAAATCGTCTCCAAGCATGGTTGACAACAACAAACCTCGCACAAACTCACTCTTTTTCGCCTTCTCTTGATCTTCACCTGAAAGTGGAGCTTCTTGAATGTCTCTGCACAAATGAAAGCCGGAGACCAAGTGAGAAACAAGCTCTATGATAGCTTTCTTGGTACCGGAGGATCAATAGACGCATTATACCTTTTGAGAGATTCCTTAATCGAGACTTTCGTAGCCGCGTTTCCTACCGTCACAGGTGTAGCAGATTTTTTTGCCGACTCATTCACTGAAGGAGAATTAAACATAAAGGATGACAGCAACGGATCAGAATCGATATTGGTTGAAGAAGTGAAACTTGACGATCCACCAAGAAGAGACTGTAAGTTTGATTCTCGGAGTTCCTTTTTCAAGGCGAGATAGGTAGAGCTATATCCTCCTCTTCGCAACCTTCTCCTTCGCTGTACGTAAAACCTCTCGTCAAGGAATAAACAAGTTCTACCAATATGATTGTGTACTATATAGAGAGCCAAGCTATTAACAGACAAAGCATCATATATTGGAAATAACAAGAGATCAAAATATAAAAAGTTGAAAGGATATCTTAAAAAAATTCGCATGTTGCGTCGTAATATGGCCAACGATATCCAATCCCACCCTCTTTGTGCATACAGGACAGACCTGGAAAAACAAAGAACACATTCTTAAGTCTACGTTTAAGAGCAAACAGAGATGTAGCTCAAAAAAGTAGCAATCTGGATCATAAAAAGATCACTAATTTTACCGACCGAATAAACGAAATATTCCAAGATTGGATTCACAAGGCTGCTAAATGGATTACAGTGCTCATCTGATAAGAAGAAACAACAGGTAGCCAGAGAACATTTCATCATCACGAAGAGCCGAAAAAAATATACCAACACTTTCAATTTTATACCTAGAAATCAAATTTTGCAGCATCGGAACATAACTAAGGCAAAGAACTTATCAATCTAAACAAATCATCAAGATATATCCTAAAGCTAAAGAAGGGTTGATAGATGATCATTATAATTACCCCGTTCTTGGCTTCGACAGGATGTTCTTCATCAATGTGACAACAAAGCCCAACAATGTCAAAATCTTCAGCGCAAAAGGGGCAAATAAACTCTGCCTTCAAATCGTCTTCTCCTTCAAGATCCTCGTACCCTCCTCCTAAATACAAATCTGCCACCAAAACTTTCAAAGATCAATCTCATGACCAATAGCCTAAGAACAAAACACGAGATTCCACCAATAAAAAGGAAAAAGACGCGCGAACCTGATCGGGATTGACACCGTCTCGAAGAAGAAGAGGATGAAGAGAAAACAGAGGGACAATTGATCCATGAATTGGAATCCATATCCTCTGATTGTTACAGGATTGAGATTAAAGGAGACAAATTTGAATGTGATCAAAGAAACCCTAGAAGGACGGTCGAGAGATAGAAAGGGGAAGAAGAAATGGAAGGAGATGGAGAGAGAGTGGGAAGCGAAAGACTTGTTACCGAACTACAACTTCGGACAAGGACACAAGAAGACAAAACAAAGACAACGTTTTATTTTTACCTGTTATACCCTCGAGTTTTGTGTTTATTTATATTTTTGGCCCTTTATTATTCAGTCGTTGACGCGGTTTGGTTTCGATTGGACCGAACACAGGAAGAGGTTTCGTTGTAATGCTTCACACGTGTAACGTTGGTCTACCACAAGTCCCTGCCTGCCTGCCTGAGAAATGATACTGCCCGCATTTATTTCTAACTAATTTTACGAATCTTCTTTTTTTTTTTGTTCATCAATTTTAGGAATCTAAAGTCTAAACTACTACAATTATTATTAATAATTTTATACGTACTAAATTGGTATGGTTGATCCAATCCAAAATCGATCATGTTATATAATTTCGTAAGTTATTTCTGTAAAAGTGGAACCTTAGATCATTATGTATACTTTGGATATGAGCCAGTCTACTTATAGTCAATTGATTTCAAGTTGATATTTTCCTAAGACATGATCAGCATTATGTCTAATAGTTTGGTTGATAATTGTTTGATTGAAGGAGGGTAATTAGCTTAAGAAAATTGCATTATTGTAACAAATGATTCGCAGATTAACGTACGAATTATTCTTTTATTATAATTAAAAACTCGAGAGCGACATGAGTCATATCAATTTGTAAGAAGAAAAAAAAGTATAGAAAAGAAGTTGCATGTGAGGGAAGGGAATAAAGTGGTGGTATGAATTTAAATATCTTTTATCAACAAACAAGGAAGAATCCAATTAATGTTTGGCAACCAACAAATATAGAGCTTTCTTTCCTTTTTCCCTTGTGATTTTGTTTGATCCTCTCTTTCTTTCGTTTTCATAGTGCAACTTACTTCACCCCACTTTCATTCACATTAGGTGTACATAAATGTAAACAATCACAGACAACATTTTTCTTTTTGTCTCTATCACTTATGCATATTTGGAAGACTTTTCATTCAATGCAATAAAAATGCTATTGGTATTTTGTTTCATGATCGATGATGAGGCTGGTCCTATTGCATCAATGCAATTATGTATACACACATACACACACTAGAACAAAAGACGTATGAAAGATTTATTGCATCTATCGATACAAAAGAGATTTAAAGTGTTCTAATATACTTCCAATGAATTTGCTAAACTGTTTAAAATGAAGCCAATTTTTGAGGCGCTCTGTTTTTACTTTATCTATGCATGAACTGATACAAGTAATAAATGAAACATATGTCGACATTGTTGGATAGAACAAATAAGACTGAAAACACAATGACTAATGAAAAATTAGTTTTTTTTTTGGTAAATACTAATGAAAAATTAGTTTGAAAGAATAATAAGACATATATATATAAGAGAGTCAAAAAAAAAAAAAAAAAACATTTGTAAACAAAAGTTGTTTCGGACCGAAATATGCGGAGAAATTGTTGTTAACACTGATTACAAGTTTACAACGATGTTGAAGCATAATGTTTTGTCGTCGGAAAACCCTCAGTTACAACAGTATATATAAGTTGCAATGAAATCACTGAATTATTCTTCTAAAAATGTAACAATCTCGCTGACTTTTTTGAAAATATGAAACATTGATACCAAAAAAAAATATATATGAAAAATTGATGTATTGCTAACGTTCATACAAGAAATACGCATTCCTTTGCTTTATGAGGTGAACCAAGTCACTGTAACTTATATATACTGTTGGGGTGAAAACTCATTTTTCATAATGTTTTTTCGTATTTGGGCCTGGAACCAACAATCACCCACATATGGCGAGCTTATTGAGATCTATATTATGATTACTCTCTCTAGTTATGCAATAGACTTGGATTCTTTAGCTCTTATCCCAGTTAGGTTTGGAGGTTCACTGCTTTTGTGTCAACGAAATAACGCAAAAATCTTATCTCTAGATAGCTCGTACTCACTATACTCACCACAAGAGATAATGACATTAGCTTTCTCATATCCACGTGTCTTCTTCTCTTTGCTCACCAATCTTTAAGTGCCACGTGTGTACACTCTTCCTCACCTAACAAAAACAAAGGTGACGCCTACCGAAGTACCAAGAGGTCTAGCAAATAACATTGTATTACACGATTTTTTACTTAGTTCCAAAAATCGTACAGCTAGTTCTCTCAAGTCGTCTCAGGTATATCCATTTTGATGAAAAAGAGCGGGAAACAAAACAATGCAAACAATGAAATTCCGATTCAATTCCTGTTTCTTAAGATTATACTAAAAGTCATCTATACGACTTCATATATGACAAGGAAGGATGGTCTCAAACTTTCGGTTGAACATATTACCATTTGACATTTACCGCGTTTTTCGGTGCTTTCATTTAACAAACCTTCGGCTAGAAGTCAAACGTGTTGGCTCCGTGTGTTTTTACTTACTTTTTTAGTGCCTGAAATTTTGTTATTTCATTTGTTAGCTGATGAATGATTTCATGTGATCAAATTTTCCAACAAAAAGAAAGAATTATATCTTAAATGAATTTACAGCGATTTAGAGTAGAAATTAACATTTTTAAGATGCAGACTAAGTGTACGAATATATATGGCAAATGCGCATAACCTTTAATAATAATAAAATATTTAATTAATAATACGATATATATAATCCTTTTAACAAAAAATGATATAATTATTTTTCAATAATTTTTTTTTTAATAATTTAAAAATCTTAAATTCTTCAATAAAGAGAGGAACACTTCTATTCTAGCCTCTGAATGTGCTTCTTCTCTCTCTCTCTCTTTTGCTTTCATCTTCTCTCTTCCTTATCACTTGATTTTAGTCCAAATCTCTAGCTCATTTGTCAGACAACAAAATTTCCGACAATGGAAGCAGTCAGATTCTCGAATTTGTCAGCTCTTCTTATACTCTTAATGTCACTGCCTCTTTTAGTGATTTCAAAGGACCAAACTGTTTCTTGCACAATGTGTTCCTCTTGCGACAATCCATGTAATCCTGTCCCATCTTCTTACTCTCCTCCTCCTCCGCCTTCAAGCTCTGGTGGCGGTGGATCTTATTATTACTCTCCTCCTCCTCCTTCAAGCTCCGGTGGTGCTAAATACCCGCCTCCATACGGCGGCGACGGATACGGTGGACAAGGTTACTATTATCCGCCTCCTTACTACGGCAATTACGGGACACCACCACCGCCGAATCCGATCGTTCCTTATTTTCCGTTTTACTATCACACTCCTCCTCAGGGATATTCTGGTTCGGCTCGCTCACATGATTCTCTCCTCTTTGCTCTGTTCGCCGTCTTGCTCTGTTTTGTGTGACGGAGATTCATCTGGATTTAGCCGGGAAAGTACGGCGTAGAACTGAATATCTTTTTTTTTTTTTAATTTTTAACCTTTTTTCTTTTACATTTTCGTTGACAATTTGTATTTAATACATCTTTTCAATTAATTAAGAACATTTACAACTACTCGTCGTTCTATGATCTTTAGAGTTCAGATTATATATTAGTATAACTATAATATGTATAAGAAGAAATTTGTTTTAAAAAAAACACTTTGGATGTGGCACAAAATTGGGCTTCAGTTGTTGAAAGAAAAATAAAATAAAAAAAAGTCTAGCTTCAGTTACTGTACAAGGTAAAGTAGTTGAGTTCACTTACACTATTTTTGTCGGTTCGATTATCTGTTAATAAACGAATTATGATTACATCCTACTCATTTTGCATTGGCAAACTATTCAATTAGTACCAGTTAACCATAGTGGTTTAGTATTTTGACATTTGATGTGATGATTGTCGTTAACTTGGATTGGATATATCATATACCTCGCTTAAAATATTGGACGGCCAGTTTTTGTTCATAAATCAAAAGTTTTCCTTCTTTTGAAAAAGCCTTCCAAGAAAAAGGTTATACGAAACCTACAGACCCAGTGAAACTAGTAAATACACCCAATATAAACGAGAATTAATATTGTTGGCTTCAAACTCTTAACATTTTATTTTCCTTTGTTATGAACTTGTTTCTAGCTAGTAAAATTTTTATGGTGCAATACAATTTACGATGGTCGATTCTACGTAGTTTATTGAATAAAAAAAGCAATGCATTAAACGTACCAAGAGCTCTAGTTTCAGCCATGAGTAACTCATTGGCCATGTGATCATATCTACTATCTTTTTTTTTTTTTTTTTTGAGCAAAGATCATATCTACTATCTTCTTCCTCTTTTTTTCATCTTTTTCTTTTCAAATTTTAGATTGCCTTTTAACTTTCTAAAAGAAAATGTGAAAAATATTAGCTGGCCTGCACGTGCGAGTAATGGGTTGTTACGGTCCCACCAAGCCGGATCTAACACAAATTTGGTATAATCCGGTACACTGTCTGACTGGTTGTTCTTTATTTGCATTATTGGGTACTGAATTTTAGTTGACAATTGGATTATCAATCCACGTCAGTGACTGGTTAATAGTATTTGAGTTTTTTTTTTTTTTTGTTTTTTTTTTTTTTTTTTTTAAATTCACGAGTGTACAAATTTTTTTTATATCAATCCACGTCAGTGACTGGTTAATAGTATTTGAGTTTTTTTTTTATATTCACGAGTGGTCAATCCACGTCAGTGACTCTCTCAAATTTTTTAATATAAATTTTTTGAAAATGTGAGATGAGAACTTTTGTTTTTTTAAAAAAATTTTTTATGTTCATGGTAGGTTCTCTAGTGGGGTTCTCTAAAGAAAAAAAATTATTAAAAATTTTATTTTATAAAACTTAATAATTATTGTAATTCATAAAAATATTAAACATACATTATTTTCAAACATTTTAAAAAAGACTTGTAAAAACAAAATCGGAATAACGATTAGTTGTACTGTTGATTGTTGCGAAATTGTAGAAAAACAAGTGTGTTGGGAGATTGTAGAAAAAAAGAACAAGATGAAGTATATGGATTGGTTATGGTGTTCTTTTTTGTGTAAGAATAAGAACAATTTTGAGTTTTGGTGATCGATATATTTGAATATGTATGGTGACTTGGTGAGAGAACAAGTTACATTGTTGGTGAAAGATTGTGTTATATATATAGCAATAACAGGTATCATACACAACCATTTATTTGTGGTTCACAATCATTCCAAAAATACTTGTGGTCTTGGCACGGCGATCAAATTACAATGCTTAATCCATTCCTCTGTTTCTATACAAACCTCGTCCTGCAATTGTATCAACAATATGATAACTATTACAATAAATATTCCTACGAATTAAGACAAAAAACCTTAGTTTTATAACCACTCAACTTCTGTTCCTAAAAAACGTCACATGAAGTAATGGTAGGAGAAAAAGCTTTACTTCTTCATGGACTGCCTTTATCAAATCTATCAAAGAATAGAAAACAAACAAGTTTCAAAAACAACGTTGGCTTTCAAATACTTCTTGTTATCAAACTTGATCCATGATTCAATCAGTCAACAAAAGTCTGACCTTTAGTCTTAGAGATAGTCTTGTAAATCCTCTTGATGCAACCATCACATGAGCAATTCAGTTTCAGTACCACATACAGATTCAGAGACATGAATATAAAATCGGAAACAGAGCAAAATCAAAAGAAAATCAAAGCTTCTTCTTTGTTAGGATACACAACCATCGACTGTTCTACGATCAAGTAGATTTACAAAAAGATTCATGCTAGGACCAAAGAAGTTGGACTGAAACATGCCACCACCGAAAAGGATCTCTACCACCTCCTTGTAGAATGATGAAAACGCTACACTCAAACACAAGATCACACAAGATCCAACGGAGACACCATTCACAGCTGAAACAATCTCACTAATAGACTAATAGTAGCTTTGTTCTCTGTGTTTCTACATAGGGAAGACTTTGACACAAGCCCAATGGTAAAATCTAAGTATCGTATCATCAATGAAGGAAAACATAAGCAGTAATAAGCACAGAGAGCTTAATACCATTCAGATACGAGTGAGAATAGAAGTGGCAAAAGTCATGATGATAGTCGATGGAAACCAGAAGTTTCTGATCTTTGGAGAGTCGCTTGAGATGTATTGTGGAACTGGTGGTGGTGGTGGTGCTACGGTGGCTGTTTCCGGTGAGAATTGAAAGATTAGATAGATTACACATCTAAGATTCGATTTAATCGATCCAATTAGATAGAAGAATTCGAAATTAACCTGATAGCGAACAGAGAGAATTGAAAGATTCGTCGGAATTCGCCGACTCATCACACCGTTTAATCGCCTTTGCGACTTGCGAGAGAGAGAGAGTCAGGGTGTTTTTTTTTTGGCGAGAGAAAAAATAAAACAAAGGAGAGTTTTTTTTTCTTTTGTTAAAATCGATCCTCCAATCGCATTGTGACACGTGTGCGCCTCTCACAAATTCTCAAAACTCTCTTCAGAGAATCGATACTCTGTTGTATTATCAGTTTTCATTTATTTTTTTGGCAACTAAACATGAGAACCCATCAATTTTTTTGAAGAGAACCTCCCTTTGGAGGTGCTCTTAAGAAATATAAATTCAGAATCAGAAATGAAAGAGTAACCGGGATCGGTCAATTGTATCGATTGGGCTAGGCACATCAAAGACACTTTCAAGTTGGGCTTGACTATTTTAGTAACACTGTAGCTATTTTATCTGTAAGCTTTTCTCCGCCCTTTATGATTTTCCTTGCCCTGTGGATTATGAATCCTCTGAGGTTTAACAAATTTGTTTGATAAGTTGATGGGAAACACAATTATTATGTTAAATAAAACTCAAGTTATTTGTTTTACTTTTCGATAATAAAATGGAAAGTTTAGATTCTTGAGAATCCAAGAGGAAAGCGGATAAAGTGAAGAAAATAATAAACTTTGAAGAGATTCGAGGAACATGCCTCAAATACATTGAATAAAGTAGACTAAGTAGTTTATGAGTTGACAAAATAAAAGTTAGTTTCGTTATGTTAGTAAGTTATTTCCATGAACTTCAGAAAGATAAACCAAGGTAAAGTTGTCGACCGATTCAACGTTGGGCCACATGTGGCCAGCCCATTTCACGTATAAACCCATTGTTGAATAAATATACGTACCCCACTTTAGCTTTCACAATGACAAAAACATATCATCATTCGTTTTAAATATTGACTGTTGTTATAAAGCAATATATAGTTTAATAGTATAATTTAAATATATACGAAAATGAGATCAATTAGTCCAATCCTTGACCAGTCACGTGATACCTATGATGTAATATGTTCAAACTTAAGGTGCTACATTTATTGCATATGGTCATTACCCCATAACATTCACATTGAGTACAAGCTGTTTGTTGTACCCTCTTTGAGAGATCTTTGTTAGTTATTAACTTAATAATGTATAACTTAGACGATCTCCAAGGGGAGATACTATTGTTACTATCTAAAAAAAAAAAATTTATTATTTTAATTATGTACTATATTTTAATTAAATTTTAATAATTAAACCAATAATTGGTTGACAAATGACAATATTAGATGAAAAAAGTTTTTCATGGTTTCTCACTTGAGAAACTCTTCTTTTCTTCTCTCCTACTTTTTCTGACTTTAGATATTATTTTAATATTAAATTTCTCCATAAAAAAAAAACAGATGGAGAATTGGAGATGCTCTTATAACCAATAGTTCAAACTCCCTTATATTTTCGAAATGATTGGAAACAACAAAGCCCCAAAATCAAATTATAAATCCCTTTGCATGCAGTACTATTCATCCTATGGGCTTGGTCTTTGGTGCCCAAAGAATAAAGTTTCAAAATCGGATAGATACTCTAATTTTTAGTTGTTTCTAAAAACAAAAATTGAATTAGCGAGGGAATGCATAGTAGAAATTTTTAGTTTAAGGTTTCAATGTAAAAGAAGCGGCAAATTCGAACATTAGAATTTTAGTGAAAAGTTTGAAAATAAAATCTATGTGCTTGACAGATAGGCGGTCTCCATTCTTGTCCTAATAAAGACAAAACTTTCCAATAAAATATAATTGTCGGAAGAAAATCATCTTGACCTTTCATTCATTCATTCTTCACCAGATCACATAAACCAGATACAAAAATTTCAAAATTTAGTTAATTCAAACAACACAACAAACACATACAAAAAATTACACATTAATTCGTTACACATCCTACAAAATTTATTTCACCTGAAAACTTTAAGGTTAAGATCCAGAAAATTCGTTAAGCATAAACGGAAGAAGCATAAGAGAGAGCCATGAGTAACACGGCGGCTTGCTCTTCTTCGCCGAGCTTCTTCCGTCGTTGATTCTCAGCCGTTGATCGCTGCATCATCACTTCTCTCCCCAATTCCATTAGTCGCTGCTTCAACGAGTCACCGAACTTTGGATTTCTGTTGTGATTCTTGTTCTTCTTATCTTCTGATCTATTCGAGATCAGTGTTCTTCTCTTCTTCCTGTTTCTGATCCCGCATGCGTTACATAGCGACTACACAAAAAGCAATCAGATCGGATCGGATCAGATCGAATTAGATAACAAGTTAGGTTAAATTAAGATCGGGAAGAGACTAACCTTGGGACCGGCGGGACCGCCTCGCCAAAGAGGGGTTTTGCTAGTACCACAAATGGCACAACTCTTCTTCTCGTTGCTGATACCTTCATTACTGCTACTGCTGCTGCTGTGTTCTTCGATCGCATCTACTGATGTGAGTTTGCTTTCCATGGCCTCTGAATCGATAACCTAAACACAGAAGTAGCGCGTTAAGCTTAATTAATCCGATCACTAGAGATAAAGAGTAAGAAGAGGGAATCAGATCACTCACTGTTTTCTCGGTAGGATCTAGCATTACCAGCTTCGTTTTGGGATCGAGAACCGCAGATCGTGAACTAGTGTCAAGTGGAGAAGATATGGATCTAGGGTTTCAAATAGAGATCAGAATGGCAAGAAACAGATATGAATTCAAAGACGAGTGGATCAGGGGAAACAAAAATTTGAATCTTGAAAGTAGAAACAGAGAGAGAGAGTGTCAGAGAAACAGAGATATTTTTTTAATTTCAAAGAAACGAACGACCCAACAGATACCGCAAAACTAAACCAAATGCCCCAATTATAAATGAATTGGTCCGGCTAGTTCACAAAAAAAAAAAAAAAAAAAAAGAAATTGGTCCGGGTAAACCCTAGCTTTAATTTATTGTTTTGAATGACAAAATTACCCCTGTATACGTCCTTTATTATCAGGATAGAGCCACCCGCCAAATATTCCGCATCAACTGTGGGAAAATTTTCGCATAATTTGGGCGCCATTTCGAATGGCGTGGTGCTTCTAATAATGGTGTTTAACAATACTTTAATTTCGGTTTAATGTTAATCAAGAAATGGAAAAAGGCTTTTTAAGCTATTTGTAACCAATATTACATGGACCGGACCGTGATTTAGATGTGCCACATAACTTCGATCCGGCCAGATTAACGGCTCAAAACTAACACTGCATATAAAGAAATGTCTTAATATTACATTATTCATCTATGAAACCTAGATGACATTCTTACCACATCTCAAATGCAAACAACTCGGTACCAATCCTAAATTACGGCGATTCTATTCAATCATAGAGCAGGAAAGTGTTTCCTCGGTAAAACTTCACATCTCGTTGTCAATGATATCGTGCATCATCTGTAATGGAATTAGCCCTTCTGTCCTGATTGCATCTTTGCTTGGATCAGGACTTATGAAGAATAATGTAGGTAAGCCTCGAACCTGTATCACAACAAGATTTGGTTAGTGTAAGGAATTACATTGATATGTTGAGATGAGATTCATGAAAAGAAAACATAAGCTGCAAGTTACAGTTTACCTGCATGTCGCGTGCAAACTCGTACTCATCATCTGTATCGACTTTCACGATTATTGCATTGCTCTCATACTCTACTGCAAGCTGTTTCACAATGACCAAAACTATTTTTTTAACACGAGTGTAATGACATTTGCAAAGTATAAAAGCAAGTAGATAAAGCCAATCAAGAAGTAGATGCTTAGATTCTCCAATCTCACAATTCAAAACACATCTAATGAAAATGTAAACATGCCAACTACGCAAGGGGTCTTTCAACTCTAGGCCATTGCCAAACCAAGACATTGGACAATTCCACAATGCCCCCAATACATTTCCACAGTCCCTCTTTAAACATTGAGATCTCAATAAACTATAAGGTTTGTTGCTGAGCTAGCAAAGCTATAATTCACTGCCCAACTCCTAGGCTAGTCACAATAGTACTGCACTAGACTTAGCAAGAAAACCTTATCATAAACCATCACATTACCGGTTCCAATAGCCAATGTTTGGAAATATGTAAGCATTCTAGAGTCTACACAGGAAGCAAATGAAATGAAGAATGTGTAAAACAGATGAGTTATGAGAATCCATGGTACCATTTCTAGTTCCTGGGCCATCAAGATACAAGGTCCGCACCATGTCGCATAAAAATCAACAATCAACGGCACCTTCCTATCTCCTTTCACCAGTTCTTGAAGTTCTTGAGCTGACAATTTCTTCTGTCAAACCATAAGAAAAGGGAAAAAAAAAACATCCAGCAATCAGTGAGGCCCCCACTTGATGGCATCAAGAGTCATTCATAAGATTCAAATTAAGAAAATCTCAATTCTGAAGCATTTAACAGTGTATTGGTCGAATCTTTGATAGAACTACCATATATCATTCTTATATAACTACATCTATGCCCAACCAGCTTAATTTCCCAGAAAGACGAAAAAGGAAGTCGTAAAACGAAAACAAATATGAAAATTTCGAAATCGACAAGACAATCTGGAGATAGAGCGAGAGAGAAAGCGAGAAATCGGCCGTACCACAAGATAATCTTCTCTTACAAACTTGCCGCGAGGCGGAGGACAGAGAAGCTTCCGCGGACGCGTCAACGGCGAGAAGGGCAAGTTTCCGGCGGTGGAGGAGGAGAACGGCGAGGCTACCGGTCGGATTTCCGTCCGGAGAAAGAGAGAAGACGGAGCATGGAGGGAGGATAGAATCGGCGACAACGGGACGTTGAGGTGTGGAAGTGTTCTGGATTGAACAAGAGCCATTTCGGAAATCGATTACTACTGCTAAATGATTTCAGTTTTCGCTTTTTACGGGTTTTAGACGATAAGGCAATTGAACAACAGTGTTTTAACTTTTCTACTTCGACAATACTAACTACTAGTTCTCGTCTTTTTACAATTTACTGCTCAGGTAAAGTCAATTCATTTTTGTATACTTGGCCTTCCTTCATAATTCAAATAAACATTCATTATCAGACACCAAACATATTAAGACAAAAAGGGTTTGTGGTTTCATTTTTAACCGACATACAAACTGTTGTGAACACAAAAACAAAGACTCCAGTGTAAAATTTTAAAACAACACAAAAGTCGACTCACGACTCACGACCCACGACCGGTGTACCAGTCATTTCAAAAAAATAGCCCTGGACAATGAAACCAAACACTTTCTCAGACTCTGTACTTTTAAACCGACCACCCGGTACAGACCTCTGAACCAGACCAGACCAGACCAGACAAGGGCTATAACCCTGGCAATGAAACTAGACTCTGACTGACTCTGACCTTTCACCATTCTCAAGTTGCAAGCTTCCAATTCCATTCCTGTGGGTTTGTGTTTCAGATCTAAAATATCAGATTTTGCATGTTTTCATCAAGAGACGTTAGAAATTGAAGAATTTGTACATTTTTTTTACCTTCAGCTGAAGTTGAATCCTCCGGATGGGACTGGAGCTTGATTCCCTCCAAACTGGAACCCAGCCTGAGAACCATCAACACCTGGAGGTTGCTGTGTCTCATCATCTTCCTCTTCAAGCCAGTATGTCTCCAGAATTTTAACAGCCTTCTCATAGATCTCATTGTTGTCATGGCTCTGAAGGTTCTCAATCTTTTCTAGCCCTTCTGCATCATCAATCAGCTGAGCGTAATAGTTCATGTCTCCTGTGTTACCCAAGTTCTTCTCTGCCTCTCCCACCTTCAAAATGTTTTCCAATCCTTCAAGGCACACCGTTATGATTCTCGGATCTGGGCATACTAGGAGATCGCATAATGGTTTTATGCATCCTTGCTCCACCAGGTGTCTGTATAACCAACGGAAACAGAACATCAATATATTACTATATAGACCCAAAGTAAATATTCGAGAGAAGGAACTGGAAGTTCGAGGAACCAAAAAAAGACAGTGACATACTTGATTTGATCATGAGAACCACCTGAAGTTGCATTTGAAATTGCCCATGCAGCTTCTTTCTTAATGTCAAATTCAGCATTTTGAAGCAGACTCACCAGCGGGGCAATCAAATTAGCCTCAACTACCGTCTGCAACCATTGGGGGCAAAACAACACAATTATATTAATGAATAGGTTTATAGAAGTCTGGATGGGAAGCGGTACAAAACATATGATGAAACACTAGGAATTGCCTACCTGGATCTGATCTTTGTTGCCTGCTGTGATGTTTGAAATCGTCCAGCAAGCTTCCTTCTTTATGCTTTTCTTATAGTTTTGAGTGAGCAAGTTGGCAAGACAAGGTAGAGCACCACTATTGATCACCCACTGGAGAAAAAGTGAATCAGATTTCCAAGTAAAACGATGTACGCTATTTCAGATATAGAAAAGTCAACTTTGATAAACTCATGAAAAACCAAATTTCACCAAGCAAAAAGTTTGTACATGGTTGTTGGTTTAAACTTTAAAACAAGAATTAATTGCAACAAAAATCAAACACAGGCAAGATATAGCAAAAAAGGCACTGCATCCTATCTACTAATATGGACAGAGTGGCATCAGAGGGAGGATCTAATGATAAGCATTCAATACTCTCATTATTCTGATAAAATGTTGGATATGAATAACAGCGACAGGGTAGCATACATTTGGACAACACTTCATCGCATTTACCAGTCTTGGATTAGATGATATGCATGGTATACCACTAACTTTAACATGTTTCTGCTATCGGTTCAATTAATAAAAAGTTATCTTCAGAACTATCCTAAAGGCCAAAGGGTTCTCCATAGAGTTAACTATGAGAAATACAATAGGAACTTCATATACGATGTTCACAACAGAAATACTGTGAGAAATTCAATTAACAGCATTTAGATCCATACCTGTGTTTGTAAATCATCTCCAGTAACTATATTTCCAACAGTGCGAAGTGCAGGAATTAGCACAGATGGAGAAGGATGGCTGAAAATTCAAGAGAAAGGTATCAAGTTATTTGTCAACACATGTGTGAAGTGGACATGAAATAAAGAGAACTAAAAAATGGAACTGACAGGAGAAGTTCAACAAGTCTTGGGACAACACCGGCCTCGATGACAGTCTGGATTTTGTCATTGGTCCCATCAGAGAGGTATGAGAGAGCCCAACAGGCATCTGTCAAGACTTCTTCATCATTTGAATGAATTAGTCGTTCAAGGGCCGGAAGAGCAGGTTTCACCTGTTAAACATGCTTCATACATTAAAAGAATACTAGACATAGACATTGAAGAAACAAGCCTGGAGGGAAAAAAATAGAAGACCTGGTCAAAGTGAGGCTGAGGCTTGCCACGACAGAAGTTTGACAAGGTCCATGTGGCATTTCGAAGCATGGACAATTTGGCATGCTCATTAAGCTGATTGAGCAGCGGAAGCAGTGCCCGACATCCAAGAACAAGATCACGGCACCGTGGTGAATCACCAGCAACGTTACCCAAAGCCCATACAGCCTGCAGGTTAGAGCGTAATGTTAAGATCAGGGTTTTACAAATTCTCAATTGCAAAATCTCCCATAATAAAAATGACAACACGTTCTGTAATCATCAGAAGTTCCATACCTGCTCACGGACATCATCGCTAGGGGAAGCAAGAAGCTGTACAAAGATTGGAACAGCATTGTGATCGATTACAACCTTAGTGTGATCCGATGTTCCAGATGCAATGTTTGTCAGAGCCCAAGCTGCCTCAAACTAGAAAAAAAACCCAAAAAAGATCAGAAGAGAAGATTACAGTGAAGAATGAATCAAAAGAAAGAGACAGACAATATCTCACCTGAATCGCGGGGTAATCTTCTTTCTTAAGAAACTCAACAAACCGAGGAACAACACCAGCAGCTATCACTTCCTCGATTGGAGGACTTCTCTCTATGCATATATTATAAAATACAGACGGAGACAAAAGTTAAAGGGGACACTCAAAATAAAATCAAAACGCGAATTAAAGAGATTTAAGAATACGAATTACCTATAGAGAGAAGCTTCCTGAACTGAGTAGTGGACTCAAGCTGCAAGGCAGGATCATCTGACAAAACCCCAGCGATCATATCCTGCAAACTCTCCAGCTACAAAAAAAATTTCAAGCCAATCAAACTCTAAGACAATTACCGTAGCCAGAATCCTAAAACGAAACCCTAAAACCTCACTAAGCCGACATGAAATCACAAACAAAAACCTAGAAAACCGACTACAGGGTACAATCGACTTGTACCTTCTTATCGACGGAGGCGGCATGAGGAGCGGCGGAAGCAGAAGGGAAATCCTGAAGAGCTTGCATACCTTCACGTCTCTTCTTCATCAAACTCTCCTCACGCTTGCTTTTACGGATCTCAACCATGTTGTCCTCTCTCCTCCGTCGTCCTTCCTCCGCATCCACAGCAACTTTGTACCGGTTCCGGCGAACCTCCGTCCTGGCGTTGGGTCTCAGCGACATGGCTCTGGCTCGACAAGGAAAACCCGATAAAAGAGAAATTAACCCGATCAATGAATGCTCACAGACACACGCAACGAGTGGTTTGTGTATATATAGATCCTGCGGAGAGCAAATAAAATTTAAAAAAAAAAAAAAAAACCCTAAAAATTGATTTGGGAGTGAAAAAGTGATAAAGAGTTAAGAAGCAGAGGCAGCGAGGGACAAGTTGACAACAGCGCAACCAAAGAATGAAAGCACTTTTTTTTTTAATATTTGTTGCCAATTTATAATTGCTAAAAAGGAAACGAATAATATTCACGTATTTACGACTTTGCCACTATTTATTTTATGCAAATAAGTGTCCACAATTAGGTTATTTACATAATTAATCCTTACTTTTGTTCTTTGAGGCAATCTTATGTATTCTTCTTTTTATCACAAGAATTTGAAGATCCTTTTGTTTTCATGACTTACATTACAAGTGGAGTTAACTTAAGGTCAACCGTCAACGTATATAGACCTCGATTATTATAACTTTTGAATTTACGTTTGTGTTTATAAGTTTAAAACATGTTATATTTTTTTTTTCTTTGCATTGAAAAGTCGTTGTTTGTCATACATGGATTAGTCATTTCTCTCAAGATATCCTCAGTCAGATTGTCCACTCTTTCACCGACTACATACCGATCATCGAAGACCAACCTATGAAAGTAACTAACGAGATCATAAGTTTGCTTGGCCATGAACCAGACCGCAATCAAAGCTAACAACGCCGGCCAGATAAACCGCTCAATAGCTGGATTGACGCTATGGGAAAATTCAAGCAGTGGGAACAAAGACTTCAGGAGCAAGTAAGGGATGCAGAGTGTGGTTATGATCGAACCAATCAGATCTTCAAGCAGCCACATTGAAGGAAGCTTATTGATTTCCACGTTGATTCTCTTGAACTTTCCCCGCCATGCCTTAGTCGCGAAACAGTTGATAGGTGTGAGCATTGTCTAGGAGAATACAGGAAAAAGCAGATACAATATTAGTTGCTCCGCAATAAAACGATTCTTTGTATAAAGTCCCCTGATGATTCTCTTACCAGAAAGGTCCATATGTGAAGAACCAATCTTGGATCAAAAAGTAAACTGGTGTTTCGTTTACAGGCATTCGTGATGGGATGATGATCATTAGGTCAACGAGTAGACCAAGCAATCCCGGTATGACTGAGATCTGTTCATTGGAGTTTGCAAGTTCATCGGAGTAAATTCCATCTATGGTTTTGTGTGTTTGTACTACTTCAGTTTATGGGCTTTATATGATTCAAAGTAGGCCATATTTCGTTAGCCGCATGTAATATCTTTATTTTTTTGGCCCATGAAATATCTAAGAGGCCACTTTGGTGATTTAAATACCAGCTAGGGTTTTATGTGGTTGTATCTCCTCTGACCTCTCGTGCCTCTCCCCTTACTCAGGTTAGCTGCTTATATCCGGCCGATCTCTGGATCTCTGGATATAACTTGACTTTTACTCTTTTCTGTTGTTTCGTTTGCGATTGAGTTTGAATAGTTGTGTTGTGCCGTTGTTACAGAAATGGCAAAGTCAAAGAATCACACGGCGCACAATCAGTCTGCCAAGGCGCATAAGAACGGAATCAAGAAGCCAAGGAGGCACCGTCACACCCCAACCAGAGGAGTAAGTCTCTTTTTACGGTTCAAACCTTAAATGATTTCAGATTCGGGTTATAGTTTCAGAGTTTGATTTTCGCGTTCTTGTGAAATGATGTTTCAGATGGATCCTAAGTTCCTAAGGAACCAGAGGTACGCAAGGAAGCACAACATCAAGAGTGGCGAGAATGCTAGCGCTGAAGAGTAGATCTTTTGATCGCCTCATAGGCATTTTAAGGTTTTTTATGAATTTCACTTTCTTAGACAAAGAACCAATGTACTACAATCAGGGATTGTGTCTATTTCAAATTCTCTTATTTTGCAAGTTACTTGATTTGATGCAATTCTTTCACTATATGTTTATGTAGACCTAGAATCTGAAAGCTGAACTGGATTTACATATTTAGGTTTGTCTAGCCTTACTTGAATCAATCTGGTTTTATTATCAATGCCTGCTACTGTTTTAGGTTCTCATTTCATGAGAACTCCGAATTTCTTTCTTTAGGTTCTGATTTCATCAAACTGCTTCTATTCTAATCATATGAAAACAACCAGATTTGCGTACATCTACGTTATTTTCCTTGCTAAAAGTATTTATGTATCATCTCTCTATTGCCAATAAGTCAAATATTAAATCTTAATTTGCAACATTGATTGGAAATGTTTGTGTAGATGCCAAATCCATGGTCTCAAATTGGTTTAAAATACTTGCAACACAATTGGGCAATTTGTAAAATTATATGTTTTTTTCGTGGGTGTGGTGTTTAACTGTTTATGAAAGTAAAGTGAAAATAAAAATTGATAAAGCGGATGATGACGAAAGAACCCTTGTTAATTGTCTCATCTTATATGCCTTTATCGGCTTTTTGACCGTGAGATTTATCTCTCGTCCTAGTTGCGATCTCCCTTTTCAGGGAATGGGTGTTCCGACACTTCAGGCGCAAGATTGGAAGTTAAAACCTGCTCGGAATCTTATGTATTCCATGTGGCAATGGTTATCTTGGTGTTTGGCAATCTGGCAACGGAGAGCTATCTGCCTTTTCGAGTGGTCCATTTGTGTAGTGGAACTCTTTATCTTTAGGGTGTTTAATCTTCTTGCTTTATCTTTTTATTCTATTTATGTTTCTTGTTGTATTAAGGTCTGGATGTCTGTTTTCAGTTATGTAAACAACAATCCATGGCTCTCTATCCTCCTTTGTAAGTTCACCGGTCTTTGTTCGGTTCTCCTAGAGGGAAGTTTGTTTGTCTGTAACTTAGTATAATGGAAAGTTTGTTGAAAAAAAAAAAAAAAAAAAAAAAAAACACGAAGTGTACAAAGCTCGTGTCGTGGTTTCGATGCCCTTGTCTCGCCTTTTAGTTGCACTTCGGATAGATCTACCAACTACCTAATGCCACGTGGTTATTTCTTTGACCACACAAGCCTATGCACTTCAGAGCATCACTAATCTCACGGCAACAACTATCAAAGTCCCACCTGGCGCCTTTTCATTGGATATAGAGTGCTTACACAGACAAAACATTTCCGCTTGTCATTTCTTCTACGTCACAGGCTGTCATTTTTAAAGAGAGCGAACCAACTCGCAGCAAAGGAGCGCGTGGGTATAGCTCGATGGCCTTTCAGTGAATAACAATGATACTGAGGGTATTAACGGAATTGGCTCATAACGTATGAAGAATTATATTATTTTTCTGCTGCTTTTATCTTTTTATCTTTTTTCTTTTTTTTCTTCTTTCTTCTCTCTTCTTTCGGGTTTCGAAGGTTGGGGAAAAGCTTTCGCAGAAGAAAATAAAAAGCTAGAGAGAGAATGTCAAAGTTTTTTTGATGCTCTGTTTGGAAATTAGGGTTTCTTCTTGTTTGATTTCGTCCCCTTTGAGAACTGAATCTCCCGCCTATATCGACGGCGTCTAATTCCTATCCTCTCTCGTTGCTCCAAAACCCTAACTTTACTACCGTCCGTCATTATTTCCACTTTCTCGGCTCGATTTGTTGTTGGTGGTGGGAATTTCAGTGATGGGCGCCCCGGAAAAGTCGCAATCTAATACCAATTCGATGCAGGTGTGTCTCTAGCTCTCGTTTTGTTTTACTTTATTGGCTCACTTGATTCGAGCTGGGTTTGTTTTGATTAGTAGAATTTCTTGTAGAGCTTCTGTAATCATATTGAATCACTCGTGCTTTGGAGCTGTGTTATTTATTGATGAAACTCATGGTGACCCAGCAAATTACTGTCCAATTCAATAGGTATCTCAGTTTTTAGAGCACACAGAAGATGAGATTTGTAATTTTACTCGTTTCTATGGTTTGTGATTTTACTAATTTCCCGGGGGTTTAGCGTAGGTTCACTAGTTTCTGTGGTGTTTATCCTCTTTTGAACAGTGTACCATACCCGATAATCTGGAGTAGCTATTCCACCATGTGGTAGACCTTACTTCTTCAGATAAAACGGATCTCAATTATTGATACACTAGGAAGTTGCGTTGTTTTGATGAATTGTGATGAATTGAGATGAAGGGTTTGTTTTCTTTCTTCTATACACTCTGGGAACTGCCTTCTTACTCTTGTATTCATTGTTCAGAGAGTGAAAGTCTATCATTTGAATGAAGATGGTAAATGGGATGATCGAGGAACTGGGCACGTAAGCATCGACTTTGTGGAGGTCTGTTGTGATTCTAATTAACTTCCTGAATTACTCCTGCTGCCGGTATTCTGCAGCACTTATTATGTAAAAAATATTTCCAGAATTTGTAGCTAAATGGAAATGCTATATGATGCAGCGATCTGAAGAACTCAGTCTATGCGTAATTGATGAAGAAGATAACGAGACCTTACTTGTTCATCCCATCAACCCTGAGGACATTTATAGGAAACAAGAAGGTAGCCTTTGTGCGTTGTGGTTTGATTAGCTAAGATATTTTGGGGTTTTCTGGTCTTTTGGATAATTGGTATCTGTTTCAATGTACAGACACAATAATCTCATGGAGAGACCCAGAGCGCTCAACAGAATTGGCTTTAAGCTTTCAAGAGACTGCGGGGTGCTCTTATGTATGGTGAGTGAAGACCGTTTTCCTATTATCCTCTTCCTGTCACCCCTCATTTGTACACATATTACTATATTCTTGACTGCAAAAATGCTGTTTTTAATATTCAGGGATCAAATCTGCACCATGCAACGAAATTTGCATTTCAGCTCTCTTAACAGTAAGAAATTTCTTCTCGAGGATTTATATTAGTTGAGAACATCTTTGTTGATCGTTATTTACCTTTTTATTATATATTTAAGATATGCTTATTCCATATATTCTGTACTGTCATTTAAATCAATTTTGGAGTGTGTTTCAGTTTTTTGTAATAATAATGCAAGGGCTTTAGCTAGGTTTGTTGATCCGTGGGTATTTGGATATGAGAATATTTGAATATAAAGATTTGTTAGCGCTTGCATGTTTATTTAAACTTTCTTACTAACTGTGTTTTTTTTTTTTTTGAAATATCTAATATAAATGCTTAATCTTTTTAACTGTAGCCTAATTACATTCAAAGTTTGCATTTCAATTTTACTGTTAAAGTATCTTGAGAGTTTTACTGATTATATAATCATCTGTGATTGAACAGGCGAAACATTTCACAGCTTGAATAGTGAGTTGAGGGAGCTTCCTGCTGTAGAGCTTACTACTCTTCCCCTAATACTAAAGGTTTTAAAATTCTACACTGCCCCTATGCCGTAGTGATGTTGTATTTCTTTAAGATAGTATTCTTTACCTATCTCTTGTCTGCAGAAAAGTGCAAAATATTTATGAAGGCATCATTTTATTGTTTTCGCCTCTCGAATGTTTTGCGGTGCCTTTTTTCCGTCATCATTGGACTTTTTACTGTCTGGAGGGTTAATATTATTTGACAAATCTACTTCTATCCATTTGTGACTCCCAGAATTAGAATGGTCTTTCTCACTGTTATATTTATCCTCTCAGTGTGCATGAATGTGCTATCAATCTGTGGAAGTTTCTTGTTTACTAATAATGTCTATTGATGCTCTGAATTTGTTTCCTGGGATTTGTTTTCCCAAAGATTTAATTATATATTTCCAATCTTCCTTGCAGATTGTTACAGAGAGTGGCATTACAGATCAGATGCGGCTAACCGAACTTATTTTGAAGGATGTGAGTAATTGAGTATTCTTGTATTCTTGTCGTTAATCTTATACCATTCTCAGGTTATCCTTTGATACTGTCAGTAGACTTAGGGTTTTTCATGTTTACAAACAAGCTCTAGCAAAAACATCGTTATTGAAACATTGAGCCCTATTTTCTTTGTATTTTCATCTTTGAGGTACTTAAAGTTTGTGATTTTAGTGTCAGCTCGTTACTTTATATACTGTTATCATTTCTTTAGAAGTAGATTCTGGAAACCTCCTTAATCTACCTTTTCCCTTGGTGCAGCATGATTTCTTCCGGAATCTGATGGGTGTATTTAAAATATGCGAGGACTTGGAAAATGTTGATGGCCTTCATATGATATTCAACATTGTCAAGGGAATCAGTTAGTATTCACAAACATATAATTATCATGTCTTACATCCACATATATCAGAATTATCTTTTGATGTCCATTATTTCTTATATCTTTTATACGCAGTTTTGCTTAACAGTTCTCAGATCTTGGAGAAAATATTTGGAGATGAATTGATTATGGAGATTATCGGATGCCTTGAATGTAAGTTTGATGTCATTGGTCAAAGTTAATGATGCGAATGTTGTAAAAATAATGACAGGCATTACCTCAGAATGTAGCGGTTGGATATCTGTTGCATAGGCCTTCTAGATACTATTTAGATTCTGTTGAGACTTATATTGGAACTTTCTTGCCCATAGATGCCGAGGATTGTACTTGTGGTTTCATATCCTAAGTTGTTCATGGACACCAAAAACTTAGGTTTCTTTAGTTATTAGGTAAATAGTTCCTTGCTGGATCTTATAGCCATGTTCTTAAGGGATTGCATTTGCGACTGCGTATATTATATCCAGTTTGTTTCTTGCTCTTATCTTGGTCGTTGGCTATATTTAGCAATAAATGACGCTGCATGTTGTTACACCTCACAGATGATCCCGGTGTTCCTCACTCTCAGCATCACCGGAATTTTCTGAAGGAGCATGTTGTTTTTAAGGAGGTAACACAATCTTGCCTTATGCTATTGGCTTTACGTTGGTCAGAACCAGTTAACATACACTGTACTTAGGATTGAGACTTTTCTTGTGACTAGAACGCAATTTCTTGTTTTTTTGTTGGTAAGAAGAGCATGCTCGTTATGGAGACTTTGGGATTAGCGTTCTTTGGCTTTCAGAAATGAGGATGATTGGATTTTTTTTACTTTATCTTTTTACGATTCTTTAGTATAATATCCCTTTATCTTTGTAGGCTATACCAATTAAAGATCCCTTAGTCCTGTCGAAGATACACCAGACGTACAGAATTGGTTACTTGAAGGTTGGATCCCATAATTTTTCTAAAAACCTTTACGACCTGTTTCTTGTGGTTTTAGGTCTCTCACCTTCTGTCACCTTTTACAGGATGTTGTTTTGGCTAGAGTACTAGATGATGCTATAGTTGCAAACTTGAATTCAGTAATCCATGCGAACAATGCCATTGTAAGTTTTCCATATAAATGCTATCACATACATGACATTGCAAGCCTGCATTCCATATTCTTTCTTTATCTGAAGTGTATCTTCTCCAGGTAGTTTCATTGCTGAAGGACGATAGCACTTTTATTCAAGAGTTATTTGCAAGGTTGAGGTCGCCTTCTACATCTGTGGAATCCAAGAAAAATTTGGTATTTCCCGGCTTCAAGAGGCATTTGCTATTTATTTTAAGCCTCAATGGTTTTGTATTCGTGAATAACATTTATATAAGTTATTTTGGGAGTAAGAGATTATTTTTGGGATCGCCTTTCTGTAGCCCCAATGTTGAGATGATCTACATGTGACAACAGATGGAAACGATAGATCTTCGTTAGTATGATATGGCTGTTCAATTGAGCTAGCCAGACTGATGTGTTTTCATTCTCTATAAATAGGTATATTTCTTGCACGAATTTTGTAGTTTAAGCAAGAGCCTCCAGGTGGTGCAGCAGTTGCGACTTTTTAGGTATGTATTTACCAGAACCTAAATGCGACTGGTGTTTAACAGTTACTGGCTTCAGAACATTTGTAGTAGCTATTATGGTATCGTGACTGCTCTTTCTTTGTCAAGTGCTTCTTTAAGAATCTTCTTTGATGATCCTTTTCTCAACTGGCTGTCTTTTCAATGTTTTTTCAGGGACCTTATCAATGAAGGCATTTTTCATGTCATAGAAGAAGTCTTGCAGATTCCAGACAAAAAACTCGTATTGACTGGGTATACTATTTTACTGACTAATTATTAGACATAAAAGCTCATTGTGGTCACTCTGTTTCTATTTTCTTATACCTTTAAGAAATCTCAGTGGTAATTTGCTAGCTGAATACTCCAGATAACTATTGTTGTGGATGCAGGACAGATATCCTGATTCTTTTCTTGACTCAAGACCCCAACCTTTTACGTTCTTATGTTGTTCGGACAGAAGGAAACCCCCTCCTCGGTCTCCTGGTAATTTTCTGTGATCTTTGGTAGCCTTTGGATTGTTCTTTTAGTTGCAAGGCTATTCCTGTTTTCGTTTATTTAGGACTGAAATAATAATTGGCTCTTCGGGTAATAGGTCAAGGGAATGATGGAAGACTTTGGTGATAAGATGCATTGCCAATTTCTAGAAATTATCCGAACCTTACTTGATGCAAATGCATTGTCTGGTGGGGCTCAGGTGCATCCTTGTTTCCTTTCATACCTTATTTTCTGATAATTGGAACGGGGTGGTATTCTCCCCCTGATTTGTGTACCTTTTTTGAATCCGTGCATAGTTAAGCTTGACAAAAATAAGTTCCAAGTCTTTCTCTTACTTTCCACCTGGACTTGTTATTCTTGCATGTCCCTGAATAAGCAGAAGAGACTATATTCAAGAGTATTATTTTAAAATGTTGGCGATACTAAAACTTTGTATACAGTGTTCATCATGATATCTTCTAGAATATTTAAGGCCCTAAAATTTTGTGTTCCCTTACCCATTTGTCTCCTCTAATCTTGTAGATAGACATTCTTATTTCTATTGTGTACTTGATGCATTCCGTTTTAGCAGAGAGCGAATATCATGGATATCTTCTACGAGAAGCATCTACCTGAGTTAGTGGATGTTATTACTGCCTCATGTCCTGAGAAGTCGGGCAACACATCTGAAGGTGCTGCCAGAAGGATTTTCACAAAGCCTGAAGTCCTGTTGAACATATGTGAATTGTTGTGCTTTTGCATTATGCAAGATGCATCCAGAACAAAGTAATTATGATTCTTAGTTTGGTATATTTCTGATTCATTCTCATGCTGGCATTCATTTTATTGTGCAATTTCTTCTTGTCTGCAGATGCAGTTTTCTCCAAAACAATGTGACTGAAAAGGTTTTGCATCTCACACGGAGAAAGGAAAAATACCTAGTGGTCGCTGCTATACGATTTGTCCGTACTCTCCTCTCTGTCCATGTGAGTAGATTGTTTGAACCTGAGACGATATATTTTGGTCATTTGAGATAGTTCCTGAATGCTCCCTGTAGCTAAAAAGTTGAGGCATATTGATGTAGCTAATCATGATTTTTGCTAAAATAGTTACATAAACTTATCCTACTTGCCCAAATTTTTCCAAGTGGTAGGTATCATATCGTAGGCTTTCTGTAACGGATTAAACTGCTTGTGACAACCTTTCCTTCTGCACTGGGGCTACCTTTGATTCTCTATCATGACTGCTAAATATCTCATCAGGATGTTTCTAGGACTGCTATGTAATTGCTGAAATATATTTTGTATTTTAGGATGATTATGTCCAGAATTACATTGTTAAAAACAACATGCTGAAACCGATCATAGATGTCTTCATTGCCAATGGAAACCGGTACAATCTGCTGAACTCTGCAGTCTTGGATCTGCTTGAGCACATACGCAAGGTTTTTCTTTTCCACCTTTTTCCCCTTTTATTTAGTAAGTTGGGGATGTTAATTGTATTACTTATCCTTTATTCTTTTTGTGTAGGGAAATGCAACTCTGTTGCTCAAATACATAGTTGATACGTTCTGGGACCAGTTGGCCCCATTTCAGTGCTTGACTTCCATCCAGGCTTTCAAGGTTAAGTATGAACAGGTACTGTTTCTGGGTCTTGAATTAAACTTCGGAAAATTTTGTCTGTATCTTTGTGTAACAATTTGTCCTCAGTGTTTAGAAAGTGCCGGACCAAAAAGCACTGCTGATGCGGTTGATCCAAGAAGAAGAATTGACGAGCGTGCATTGGAGAAAGAGGAGGAAGATTATTTCAATGAAGACAGGTTTACCACTGGGTGTTAAAACTTAGATTTTTTTATTTCTTTTACTCTTCACCTTTTCTCACACTTTTTTTTTAATACTGACAGCGATGAAGAAGATTCAGCCTCTGCTTCTAATACACAAAAGGAAAAACCTGCTTCTAATATACAGAAAGAACAACCTAAGCCTCATCTTTCCAATGGAGTGGCTGCAAGCCCTACTTCTTCAAGGTATAGTAGTTCCACTATGGAAATTTGTGAAATGTATATATAATGCAACATCTATGATGGATTTATTGCTTCTATAGTCCGAGGTCTGGAGGCTTGGTTGATTATGAGGACGATGAAGATGATGAAGACTATAAACCTCCTCCCCGGAAACAGCCAGAAGCCTCTGAGGATGAGGAGGGCGAGCTCCTTAGACTGAAACGCAAATCCCCTTGCGTAGAAAGAGAACAAGAGCCGTCCAAGAAACCACGGCTGGGGAAAAGTTCGAAAAGGGAAAATGTATTTGCTGTGCTATGTTCGACACTGAGCCATGCAGTGCTTACGGGTAAGAAAAGTCCAGGCACCGCAGGATCTGCAGCCCGGTCAATAGTGGCCAAGGGAGCGGAGGACTCAAGAAGTAGTGAAGAGACTAATAGCAGCAGTTCAGATGATGAAAATCATAAGGATGGAGTATCGAGTTCTGAACATGAAACATCAGACAATGGAAAGCTAAATGGGGAAGAATCTCTGGTAGTAGCTCCAAAATCATCACCTGAAATGGCTGTAAATGGATCCTGAGATTTTAACACTCTGGACTCTTTAGTTGTGGCTGGGGATGGAAGGCACTCTCATGGGTGCAAATAAAACCTTCAGAGTGCAGACTGAGACATGAGAAACCGCAAAAGAAAGCTTTGGGCAACCAACGGAGGAAGAAATGTATAGTGAGCGCCATTTGAGAGGAGGTAACGGGTTCTTCGTCCGTAGTGTTTGCAGCCGTTTTTTATTTTATAATATTCATCGTTGAAAAAACTTAGCAGTCTCTCTGGTCTGGTCAATTGCATATTGTAAGACATGGTCTATCAGCAACTAACTCTTCTTAATTCAAGTTCCTAATGGTTTCCTTGTTTAAATCTCTTTTGTTTTTCTGGAAATGCGTCTCTCTTCGCTGTGTGTTAGGTGGTACAGCAGCCAAAGTGTGTTATATTTTTCTTGTTGTGTAACAGTTAGATGTTACACATGAGATATAAGATTTTTGATATTTTTGTATTCAGTTTTTGGATTTGGTTTTATATCATGGAAAGGTTCTTTTGGTTATAAGTTCTTCTTAATGAAATAATCCAACACAACTACTAGGCCTGGACACAAATATGGATCTACGTAGAACCGAACCGAACCGAACTGAAATTGATGGGTACGGTTCGGTTCCGGTTCTAGTGAAAATATCGATTGGATCTTAAATCAAAGAACCATGGGTATCGGTTTGGTTCGGGTAAGAACCGATATCCATTCGGGTACCCAAAAAATATAGCACATTAACCTATATTTATATAACTCAAAGTCTCAAACCTATCTAGACATAAACCTAGCTACCCAAACCTAACAATTAACCATATATCTTTCTTAGCCTCTTATATATTTCTCTGAAACCTAAAGAGAAACCCTAGTTTGTTCTCTCTTTCTCAAAGAAGGAGACGCCGCAGACAACAACTCTCTCTTTCGAATCATTGCAAATCAAAGACAAAGCTTCTTTTGGTGTCTTTAAAACTTGTGTTTTGTGGTATTTTTGAAACTTTGGGTGTCTTTTGACTTAATACTTTCCAAGTTTCAACTATTTTTTGAATTTGTAATGGTATGATGACTAATATGTGATGTTTCATTGCATACTTGCATAATTGCATTTGAATTTTGCATTATAATTCTATTGTTTTTTTGGTTCCAAAAATATCCGAAACAGTTTGGTTCCTATTCGGTTCCAAAATTTATTACCCGAACCGAACCCAACCGAATAGGAACCGAACCAAAACCGAACCGATATTGATTTGGTTCCAATATGGTTCCTAAATCTCAGAACCAAAATACTTGGAACCGAATGGTTCGGTTCTAAAACCGAACCGAATACCCAAACGCCCATGCCTAACAACTACCATACTTCTCAAGTCAGCCACTTCCAACATTCTTTACATGCGTGATCCAAGACCTAACCTTCTTTTCTTCTTTTACTTTACATATTCTTTTTGTCATTTATTTTGACAAGCTTGGGAGTGTCTCTCCCAAAAGCATATTAATTCCATTTCCCGCTACTTAACAACAACGTCTGCGTCAAAAAAAAAAAACTAAACAAACAGTGTGGCTTGTTCTCTGTTAAAATCAATTTAACAAAGGTTTATGTATTTTATTTTCCTACTCTGCCAACAAAAGTGGCTGTAGTTTAGTGGTAAGAATTCCACGTTGTGGCCGTGGAGACCTGGGCTCGAATCCCAGCAGCCACAGTCATTTGTTTTTTTGTTTTAATGTTTTACCATAGAGATTTGAAATAGAAATTTTCCTTATCTCCATTAGTATTTTTACTGCCTGAGGTTGAACTTTTGGATAAGGCTAGGCCCAAAAACTTTTGCAAAAAGTAAACAAAACGAAGAAAATAGAAACATTGATTCGAATGGAAGCACAGCTATAAGAAGAAAATTCTCTTATGTTCCATAATTTGTTACCAGTCAAAAACTAAAAACTCTGTGCTGAACCTTGAATAAAAGCCTATAAATGTGTTTCGGTGAAATGCAATTTGATTAGATATGGTTGAAAAGACACTGATTTTCTATCAAAACTCGTATTTTTTTTTTACTTTTGTCGTCCTGTTGAATTTATATTAGAAAAAATGAATATCAGGTAAACTGAAATTTAAAGGGTCAATTCGATTCTTATATAGGCTCAGCAACCAAAATTCCAGGTTTCCCTGGAACAAGAGTTGAACAAAGGAGGCGAAAGTTTGGTTTATGTTAAGCAACAATTATGTGTTAAATAAATATATTAAACAAAAACCTGTTAAGCAATTAGCAATGAATCAGTGCTTGTTCCATCTTCTCTTGAATGGCCTTGTAACACCCTAGACTACATAATGGCAGCTTCGACTTTGAATCCCTGTACTTGTACGCTTTCTCGCAATTTGGTCCCACACATTTCTCTCGCGGAGGAGGATAACTGAAGACAGATCCATCAAAACACACACTTAAAACCTCACAATTCCACATACTGTATATATATGATTCTATATATATCCTCAGATGTTTGCTTACCTGTACGTGATTGGCTTGAAGATATCCGGAAGACCAATGTCTTCAGAAAATGTCATAGTTGTTCCACTTGGACCAATCACCAATCTGATAGTGTTTGATGCGAGTGTGCTTGATCTTGCAGCTCTCTCCTGAGAAGAGGAAAGATGAAGTCAGAACAAAGATTAGTTTCTAAGATGACATCTGCAATCAAATGTATGTACCTGAGCTCGTTCTTCCTGTTGTTTTTTCATCTTCTCCTCTTTTTTCTTTCTCCCAGAATCTTGCCCAAGTATTTTCCTGATAGCTTCAGCCTGGTGAAGAAGACAAAGAAGAAGCGATTAAATTGTTATGTATTCGGATTGTGTTGGCATTATAAACTAACCAGGAAAAAAGAGGATTAACTTTACCTCGGCTTCTTGGGCAGCCTTCTCAGACTGCATTCGCCGTCTCTGTGCAGCTTCGGCCTTCTTGGATTGCTGCTCTACCTCAGAAAGCTTCTGTTTTGGTTCTGGATTGTTCAAGGTTTAGAGATTCAGTATTTGCAGGCATCAATTTGTTCTGAGAAAGGGAAAAAAGTTGCAACTTACTTTTAGATGAGGGGCAAGGTAAGCCATCAGGGAATTCAAGAGGCCCCGACCCAATGACAGAATGTGGATCCGTTCCAGATTGGAGAGCCCGAGTACGCGTAGTAGGAATTTGTCCGCTTGTCGCTCCTGCCGGAAGCGGATCAACCATTCCCACCTTCGGCTTTTTCCTTCCGGATACAGCAAGTTTGTCTGATGAGAGATGTTTTGTGTCTTCCATGTCATGACCATTGCTGTGCATCCTTGTGCCTCCTTCACTCTCTTTACCTTCATGAGACTCCCTGACCCTTTTAGACTTTAACTTTACGAGGTATCTGATTTCCTCATCTCCATCATCATCACTGTCTGGTTCAGGATCCAATACACGTTTCTTAAGACCTCGTTTGCTCTTCTCAGACATGGATATTCGGTTCCCAGTCACAGACGGATATCCTCTAGATTGATGGATATCTCCTAGAAACAGTGTTTTCTGAACATGACTCTGCTCAAGTCCATTGCCTTTTACCTTATTTTGAAATGGCTTTTGTCCATTATCCTGCATTACTCTCGTATATCAGCAAAAGAGAGAAAGCTAACAATAAGTATAATGAAGGATAAAATCAAAGCTTTTGTAACAGATAAGAGTTATACCAAAGCTTTGGAATAAAGACCCGCCTCAGAGTTGGTTTGCAACGTACGTGTAACACCACCACCAAGCTTAAGCTTCAGTTTCAGTTTGTTCTCACTCACAGACCCACAGAGACTATTGGTGTTTGCCTGTGTTGAAGGTGGCAAGAACTTGAAACTATGGGCGCTCCCTTTTATATGGCGGGGTCGACGAGGCAGAGCGCTTCTCCTTCTCCTACCGGTAAAGCCAGCTAAAGAAGAAGCAGAAGCTTCACATCCCTCCATTATAATAAAATAGATGCAACAAGAATACCTGAACACAGTAAACAGAGTCAATTTACATGTAATTGAACTATAACAAGTGCATGAAAAAGGTTTACTCAAAGCAATTTATGAACAAAACTAAGCCTCACAATCTGTTTCCCACAGAGAGATTTCTAAAGAAGATATAAAATTGAAACTATATGCTTTCTCAAAATTGAATTAGACCAGAGAAGCCAAAACAACTATTCAGAAATCACTCAAGTAGAGTGATATCCATAACTAAAAAACGATAAACCCACCTCTAAAGCCTTCTTCTCAGTGAATTCGTTAAGAAATCCCCAAAATTCAAACGAGAATCTCACAGTAACACCAGTTTTTCGAGGGAAAGAGAAGCGCGAAGAAGAAGGAGAGAAAAAAAAACCCTAGAATTAGATAATGGAGTTGAGAAGAAGAAGAAGAAGTCTCTCGATTGGCTTTAAGTGAAGGGTAAATGTGGAAGAGAGGTTTGTGCTTTTTAGTGCCCAAAATCTTTATCTCCTCCATTTTTCTGATTTTCTCTCCTCCTCCTTTTTTTTTTTTTTTTTTTTTTCTTTTTTTTTCGGGTCTTCACTTCCATGCCGTCCCGTTTAAATATCCCCGGCGATACTCTTTGTCGGAGTTAATGAGTAAGACGATCGATGGATGATTCAGCTTTTGGGTTGGGCCCTTAAAACATTCAGGCCCAATCTTTTCAAGGCTCGTAAAAAGATGAGCTTAAACCAAATCAAATACTATGTGATTTCTATTAGACTTCGGTTAAGGCAAAGTATTCAGTTTCTACTTTCTAGCCGTCTGATTCTACCGGCCTGGCTTAGTTTTAAAACAAAAGAAAACCCAAAAAATAAGTTCTTTAATACCGAAGCTACCTAGTAACAAGGAAAAGATTTGGATTCAGAAATATGTACAAATTAATCTTCTAATTCCACACAAGATATAATTGATTGACTCCTTCACTAAATCTCATTCTCTCCTACTCGCTGAATTATCCTTTCTTTTGCTCTTCGTCTGCTTCACCAATCTATCTCTCCCTCCGATCGATTTCACAATGATTAACGCGAAATATATTCGTATAATCATTGGAATTATTGGTACGTTCTGCCATCTCTCTCAATTTATCTATAGCCGTGTGTAACATCATTACATGGTACTGATTCCATGCATCAGTGTACTTGTACTAGTGATTCAAAGCAGATGTTTTCACGGAACTAAACAATCAATTGTTAATCCATATTATACAAGCATTTTTTGTGTTGGGCACAACTCTAATGGCGGATCTCTCAATAAATTAAAGCGTCGTTATGATCGATGCTTATCATAATTTATACTTACATGCTTCATTTTACCTCTGTGTGTTTGTATAGATGTAAATATAATTAAAGAGAGAGAGAGAGGGACTGATTTAATTAGCACAGTTTCGAGATATATATATATACTGACAACTTTTCTCTGGCTTCATGCAGGGAATGTTCTGTCCACTTCGATCTTCCTCTCACCTATGTAATAATCCTTTTTAATTTCCCTTCTCTTGTTTTTTTTTTTCACATTCGTTTTGTGTTTATATATCTACTATATTACGAACGTTAACTTTTGAATTATTGTCTAGTTTGTCACCAACAAAATCTCTACATTGACAAGCTATAGGGTTAATAATGCGTGTTATATGTCTTGTTTTAGTGGTTTCTAGCTAGGATCATTATTTCTCAGATTTATATATAAGTATCATTGTTTTCAGATTTAGATAAGTATTGTTGTTTGCTTACCAAAAAAAAAAAAAAAAAGATAAGGATTGTTGTAGTCAAGAGTTACAAGCATTTTCATATATATACACAGGCCAGAGTTTATACAGGCATACAAGAAGAGATCAGTGGAGGGAGTTAAACTTGCTCCTCATTTAGTGCTGTTGATTAAATGTAGTTTGTGGGTTTTGTATGGTCTCCCTCTTGTTCACAAGGACAATATTCTCGTCACCACTAGTAATGGTGTCGGTTTCTTTATCCAAGTTATCTACGTGGTTGTCTTTTGGATCAACTGCGACGAAGAATCACGTGTAGGTGTTTCCATCTTTAATGCTTAAATATGTCTAATATTGTATATTGATTTTGATGATGTCTATGTTGATGTGCAGAAGGATCTCGTGTATATATGTCTTACGTTTGAGTTTTGTTTTGTGGCCGCGGTCTATATTATTACTATTTGGGGATTTGAGAGTTCCGTCAAGCATACATTCGTTGGTGTTGTTTGCAACGTTTACAACATTGGTATCATCTATCTTTTCTTTACCATAGTAAGCTCTCTCTCTCTCTCTCTCTCTCTCTCTCTCTCACACACACACACACATTTATTGATGGATAGATAAGTAAACTGGAGTATTAATTACCGGTTTTAATAAGTTTTTTATGCGTGAAACAATTAGGACAAAATGCCGGAGGGTACTAAGACCTTCAAATACATGCCGTTTTGGCTGTCGTTAGTTAGTTTCATCAACGCTGGAATTTGGACTGCTTATTCTTTGATCTACACAATTGATATTTACGTCCTTGTAAGTCCTTTTTCTTTTGCTTGAAGACTTTATGTATTAATTGATTTCCATTAACAGATTGAATTTGATTTATAACGCTTATTTTGTTCTTTGTGTTTATGGAACAGATAAGCAGCGGTCTTGAAACGTTGTTGTGTGCTTTTCAATTATTAGTCTATGCTTCTTCCTACACTTTAGGCAAAATCGACGTTATTGTTTGAAGTTTGGTGTTTGGATAATATTTTGGTATGTTTGCATGTAAGGACTTAATATTATTACTAGGAGAGAATCAACGATACTCGCATATCTTCTTTTGTTTGTAAATAAATATGGTTTTCGATCTTTCATTCGACTATCAAATTTTTTTGTGTTTTACTCTATAAATATTTTTTTCTTGATAGTTTTATTTTATGTTATACATATATATATATATATATATATATATATGTTTTTAGATCATTTTCGCTATTAATCTCTCTCGTGTTTTCGACAATACAAATCTTTTTCTCTTTATTTTTAAATAGTTTTTTATCCACTAACCCGTTGTATGAGAAATAGTGAATATTTAAAATTTTTATTGTTAATTAGCAGAGAAAGAAATGGTTTTAGTTGTTGAAGATAGATGGTTAAAAGCATTTGTAAATTTAACTCCTTTATTTTATTTAAAAATTTGAACTCATATATGCTTTTTTGTACGAAAAATAACTCTAAATTGTCTAACGACTGCAAGAAATTAACAAAAGTAAATGCTAATATAATCTCCAAAAAGACGTTTAAAACGAATTTTTAAAAACTCAAGTCTTATTTTTTTCTTAATTTACCCATTTTGTTCTCTTAGGGGACATCCTTATAGAGCATGTGCATCCCTAATCTCTCACAAAATCTCTCAATAAATATTAAATAATAAATAATATTATTATATTAGGTAAGTCTAATTTTTATTATTATTATATTAAATAAGTCTCAATAAAGTTGAGAGACTCTTTCCAAAATCTCTCGTTTGAGAGACAATGAGAGACTTTGGAGAGAGTCTCTCAACTTTATTGAGACTCATCTAATATAATAATATTATTTATTATTTAATATTTATTGAGAGACTTTGTGAGAGACTATGGATGCACATACTCTTAAGGTTCTCAGATCAACATTATTTGGAGGTCCTTAGTTTTGATTCTTAGTTATTTTTTTGGTTCTTAGCCCAATTTTTGACTCTTAGCTAAGAGTCATTCCTTAACAAAATCATCAATTAAACCTTCAATTTTAATTTTTTTTTAGCTAAGAACCAAGTTAAGCACTTCCCAATAAGGATGGTCTCACGTGGGTATCTCATATTATTTATAAGAAAATTAACAAAAAAAGCTATAGAGAAACTGAGAAGTGGTTCTCATTTGAGATATATACCATGAGAGACTTTGAAGACACACATGTCTTTCATTCAATGGTTTAGTTTCTTTTCCCAAATTAAAATTTAACGATAAACTCAAATTATATTATTTATATATATATATATATATATATATATTTAAAAAACTCCAAAGGGTATTTCATGGATATAGATGCTCGAATAGAACAGAGCGAAGTCTGTCTAATTATTCGGTATGCATGGATTTGGTTTATTGAATAAAACTGATGGACAAGAAAAATCATGTAATTCAGTAACCGGTTTGGATGGACCAACATTTGCAGTTTAAAATATCAAAATTTTTAATTCACATTTTAACTTGTTGAACTCTACAAAATTTGAGATAATCTATTCTTTCATTATTAACAACAATTATCCGATATATATATATTAGGAAACAGAAAAAATGAAGCAAAGTTGGTTATTGGTTTCTGGTTTGATCACTGGACAAGTCAAGGCCCGCTAATTGATTTATTTTCTCACAATGCTCCCCAAACCTCAGGCATTAGTCTACATTCGACTGTTCATGATGTTTGTGGAATTTCAGGTTGGAAATTGCCTTCCGCTAGGTCTAGATCTCCTATTTTGAAGCGTCTAAAAAAGATCCTCTTGGCAACTGATCCACCTTCAATTGACAGAGGCCCGCACACTTTTAGTTGGCGCACACGAGGACTGTTTCCAGACCCTCTTTCTCGATAAACCACACTTGGAATCAGTTGAGACCCTCTGGACAAATTGAGCAATGGGAAAAAGTTATCTGGTTAAAAGGGCACATTCCGAAGTTGGCTTTTACCGTCTCCCATCTCAACAGACTACCAACTAGATCTAGAGTCTTCTCTTGGGGTGTCTCCTCTACCGATCACTGTTGCACTTGTAATCTTCAAAGAGAGACTCGTGACCACCTTCTCCTCCATTGCGTTTGGAAAACGGTTCTTCACCGCCTTGGTCAGCCACCCTTCATCTTTGCGGAATGGTCTGTCCTCATCAATTGGCTCTCTTCTGCTTCACCAAATGTGTCGCTAACTCTCAAACGAGTTGCGGTCCATGCCACTATCTACTTGCTTTGGAAGGAACGTAACAACCGTGGTCTCCTCGACTGCCTCCACTGTCTTTAATCAAATCGATAGACTTGTCAGAGACATCATTCTTGCTCGAAGGGAGCACCCAGATTTCACAACACCGCTTTAACAATGGTTCGTCCAAGAGTAATGCTCTGCATCTTCTGTAACTCTTTTCATTAGGCTTTTTTAATTTTTTTTTGGGCCTAATCAAAACCACTTCTACGCCATGCTTTTGCAAAGTAACTGTTCCTTTTGGTATATTATTCACATTTTATCAAAAAACTTGGTTATTGGATATGTTGAGTAATTTGATGGATTTGTGACGGTTTCTTAATTCTCTAACACCCACGCATCATGGACATGCACCGAACCTACCCAGTAAAAGAGAAAGCTTAAAAAAAGTAGAAAAATTGTAATAGAGAAATATAAAATCATACGTGAATACCGAACCATGCCTAGCTAGAGAATTATAATCTACAACGAAAAAATATCAGTAACGTTATTTTTTTCCTCTAAAGACTATTCATTCTCCGGACGTTGTTGGTACACGTGTTATTTCATCTTTCAGAAGCAACCAAACATTCGTAACATACTATTATATACCAACATCGATTCACTTTTACCAGATTTATGGACAACATCCAAAAAGAAAACAGAAAACCGAGTGCTATCTCTACATATACATTTACGTATATATATATCACTTTGTTTTCACAGGAAATAGAGATCCACATATCACATTTGAAAATATAACAACGAGGAGATAGATGCATGAAGCATCATAATCTATCTTTGGGTAAACGTAACAACGTAAGCCTAAGAAAGCTTTCACGTTCTTTAAACAAACTTGTAATTTTGGATATTCGAAAACGACGTAGTACCATGTTCAAACCCATCCAAGGCCCAAATTTAAAGAAAACAAAAGACTTCATACACTCAAAACGCTGTCGTATCTCACTTGATCAACGTAGAGATGGCGAGACAGTTACTAACCATCTTCGTAAGCTTATCGGCCACGTCAGCCAACGGGTTAGGCTCTCCCGCTTCTTCAAAACCGTCGTTACACGTGCTGTAATCTGTCATCGCTGCGCTCAAGTTTGTGTTAACGGTGGCAATGTCACGTGACTTAACGGCGTTAACCGCGTCTTCCAAATTCACAACGGCGTCATCGTACAACTCCTGACAATCGGAGGCGCCTGCTTTTTCCACGGTGGCCATCGCCGCCTTGGTCGCGTTAATGGAAGCTTGAATCGCGAGAATGAGGACGGAGGAAGTGTCTGGTTTCAGTTGAGGCGTTAACAGAGGACTAACGGAAGATTTGCATAACGGAGGGTTATCGGTTTTGCCGCAAATGGTTTTGATCTCCGGAGATAACAATGGCGGGTTGATTCCAGATGGTGCAGCAGAGGAAGACTCGGCGGGAGCTTCTGGTGACGCGACAGGAGCCTCTGGTGACGCTGCGGGAGAGTCGATATCTGTCTCCGCCGGAGCATTCGTTGGGGAAATTGAATCGGCGGGAGCTTCTGGTGACGCCGCGGGAGAGTATGTATCTAACTCCGCCGGAGAATTTGCCGGACTAGTGATCGGTTTCATAACTTCTTGTCCCGGAGCAGGTGCCGGAGATGGAGACTCTGATTCGGAAGGTGGTGCACATTTGGATTCTACAGGCGTAGAGATCGTGACCAAAATAGAAACCGTGAAGATCACGATGATCCAAAAGGTTTTATTCGACTCCATTTTTTTCCCTTTGGTTGAGAAAAAAATGGGTTTCTGGTAGATGAAAGGGACCAAATGAAGAAAAAAGAGTTTACGGAGATCGGTGGAACGTAATTGGCGATTCAACTTTCCAAGCTGTAATTATTCATTATCTTTAAACATGGTAATTGTGAAGTTTTGCGATAAAATAGGTCAACACGTCAATTAAACTAACGTATTTATGTTGTCTTTAAAACCTTTGTGTATTCTTCAATTAAATCTAAGTATAGCCTAGAAATCTGTTACCTTAAACCATCACAATTTTCTTCCCTTTTCCTTAATCTTTGCAGACCTTTATTAGTATGCGTTTCTGCTCTAAAGGGGTTATATATATAGTCTTAGAGAAATGTAGTACTAAAAGAAATTGTTATTTGGTAATCACTTATTATGACTTATGTATACAGATGGAGAGGAAAAATAAGTTATTTTGTTAGTGTATACAAGCTAGTTAACTACATGTTATGAATGAAGTTTGTGAAAGAAAACTGATATCGGTCAAAATTTAAATAAAGAGTGGTGACGGTTTCAAAATTGTTGTTGAAATAGCAGAGACTAGAGATTGTTTAGCAATTTTGTCTCTTTTTTCTTTTTAAATTTTTTTGTAAACCAGCAATTTTGTCTTTATTTAATGTATGAAAAATCGGCTTTGTTGGGTTTTTAAAAACATTTTTTTTAAAGTTGAAATTTTAGTCGCAAAAGACTCACTGTTTTTTACTTTCTTACACTAAAAATGGACTTTTACACTGGTAAAAGTATGACTTTACCGTGGTAATTATAAGATAGGAAGCAACGTCGAAACTCACTTGTAGACTGTACGCTCGCTGTAGCTGTCAAAAAGCAACAGAGGAGGAATCAAAACAACAAAAACACACATTTTATTATTATTAATAATTTTCGATATATATATATATATATATATTTACTTGTTTTATTAAGGTTTGTTACCACTATGCATTTGCCGCTTTAGGAAGTTGAGAAGAAGAGACTAGAAAGAGAGAAAAAGAGGTTTTGCATTTCCAAAAATGGACGTTTCGCCGGCGATTTGCGACCAAAATGTTCCGGCGGAAGACGACGAAGATGAAGATGAAGATTTGTGCCGGATTTGTCGATCACCGGAGGAACCAGGAAACCCATTGAGATAT